CAGTTGTCTGCATTTACCCCATTCTTAGTCTTTTGTCTTTCCATGTAAATGTTTTAGAATATCTACAAAAACAAACCTTCCTGGATTTTGATAGGAATACGTTAAATTTATAAATTCAGGAAGAATTGAACTTTTTACTATGTTGAGACTTCCAATCTGTGAACATGGCATTTTTCTCCATTTATTTAGGTCTTTGATCATTTTCAGCACACAGATCCTGTACTTGTTTCGTTAGATTTATACCAAGATGTCATTTTTTTAAGTGATTGTAAATGGTATTGTTTTTCATTTCCAATTTTTTAGTGTCAAGCAAGAATCCAGCAAAATACAACTCTAAAATGTATCTCTTGAAGCCGTGGCATATCTTTAAGCCTCTTCCTACATATGGTATTATTGGGTTGGCCAGAAAGTTTGTTCTTTCCCCGCTTAAGATAGCTCTAGTAGCATTTAGTTGTCTTTGACTTTGTTTTAAATAATTTTGTTAGATTGTATTGTGATGGCTGTCATGTCAGCATGCATTAAAAAAGACATCAAAATTGGTGAATTTTTGTGTGGCCATTTTAATATTGAAGATGGAAGAAAATATGCAACATTTTCAGCATATTATGCTTTATTATTTCAAGAAAGGTAGAAATGCAACTGAAAACACAAAAAAGATTTGTGCAGTGTATGGAGAAGGTGCTGTGACTTACTGAAATGTGTCAAAAGTGGTTTGTGAAGTTTTGTGCTGGAGATTTCTTGCTGGACCATGCTCCAAGGTTGGGTAGACCATTTGAAGTTGATAGTGATCATATCGAGATATTGAGAATCAACATTATACCATGTGGGTGATAGCCAACATGATCAAAATATCTAAATCAATGAAATTATTGGTGAAAATGAAGTATATGTCTTTTATGAAAAAAACCATAGAGTTTTTGACCAACCCAATACTAGTTTAGATTTGAAATAAGGGTAGAAAGAATAGGATAATTAGTCCATCCTCCCACTTGATATCAGATGTAGAAGTAATCCCTTTTAATAACATCTGATTATTGCCACTTGAAAACTTCCAGGGTGGGGAAGTAGTCTCTCTATACATACAAAGGAGCTCATTTTAGTGTCAATACTGATTGTCGTTGTTTATTTTGCTGTTGACTCACAATAATTAAAAACCTCCAATTAAAAAAAATTGTTTTAGAGATGGGGGAAGGGAGAGGGAAACATCAATGTACAGTTGCCTCTTGCGTCCCCTACTGGGGACCTGGCCTGCATCCCAGGCATGTGCCCTGACTGGGAATCAAACAGGCAACCCCTTGATTCACAGGCCAACACTCTGAGCCATGCCCGCCTTGGCCAAAAAACCCTCCAAATTTTTAACCTGCCCTGCATTTTCTTGCCTTTCTTGTTCAGATTCAAGGATAGAGTCCATCATCGTAAGAGTTTTCTTTCACGTAGCATCTTAGATATGGATTACCTTGTGCCTTTCCCCCAGACATACACACAGCAAACGTAGTTTGACTGTAGTTTCTAATGACACAAGCCTTCCGGAGCCCAGACACCTGAAAGTGAAGAGTGAAGTAGAAAGGTGCCTTAGCTTGTAGGGTTGAGTGACTTTGTCTAGATGGTGTGAAAGAAATGGACTGTATGGTATGCTATTTTAACTGAGTTTTAAGATGTCTTGAATTCCCAAGATTACCCAGTTAACAGTCCAAGGATGATGGACACCCGAACCCCAAATTGTGTTGTTAATTTAAGATTCTGGAGTCATATTCCAGACTGAAACAAACTATTTCTGGGGTGGGACAGAGGAGTAAGCAAGCTCCTCGGGTGCTTATTTAGCATTCCTCTTTCAGAACTGAAGATCTTTGCCTCTGCAAGTATTTTGAGCACCTTTTAGTTATAATTCATGCTTGGACAACAAATGAATAACTATACATGTAAAGAGAATGCTAATGCAAGGTAGAAGGAAATAGTGAACTATGGCTTTTTAGGAGGCCACTGCCTTATCGGTGAGGCCACTGGGGCTTCTGAACTACGGCTTTTTAAATGGAAGGGAGAGCACACTTGGCTAAGAGGAAGTCAATGACGACTTGGAGGATTAGACAGCACTTACAATGACTGGTAGATAAGCTAGACTTTTTCCTTTTAATTTTTATTATATATACTTAGTGCAGTATTCATTTCTCACTTAATATGGCTGTTCACAACTAAAAAAGCAACGTGAACAACGTCTGCATTATTACATTTCAAATGAAAAACCACTATATGCTGAATCAATTTTTTAAAATTTCATCTGGGGAGGCATACAATTATAGGTACTCAGTCTTTGTCAATTTTAAGACATAATAACAATGCTTAAGAAAGAAATATAATATGAAATTACATTAGAATTTGTGATTTCAATGCTATTTCAACCACTTATTTACCCTCTATGTTGATATCCACATGAAACAGCAGCATACTAATTATGAATGATCTACTTGCAAACCAGAGTGAAATGCTAGGCCCTAGTAAAATATTGTAGTATTTTAAAAGTTTAATTAAAAACCAATGATAAAAAGCTGTTGATTTATAAATAGCTTACTCAGTTTTAACAAATTTTAATTTTGAAATTGAATACTGACATTAAAAAAACATGAAGCAAATAATACATCCTTAGAAATATTAAAGAACTTAGTTCTTGCTTACAAATTTTGTTTTTGGTTAACACAGGTAACATGCTTCTTAAATCTCTCCACTTTGTGTCTATAAAAATAAAATTGTCCTCGGTATCCCTAATTTCTCTTTTCTAAATAAGGCTATTGTTACATGGTAAAAAGTTACTGCATCACAGGTTTAATTTAACATCATTGTCAAAATATGTGCGGAAGATGTAACAAATTCATTGTTAGGTAAGGAATCAAGAGTACAGTTCAGTACAGTATTCTAGTCATTCATAAGAGGTAGAATTCTTAATCACAGTTTTATAAAAAGATGCAGTAGTTTATATCTGTACTGTCTTATTACTTATAGTACTATAAGTTTCCTTCCTATTATAAGGTTAACAGCACGGTGTATGGGAGGGCTCCTTAGAGGCAATGACCTTATTGGTCCTTATTTTGCAAGTGTTACAGGGATGATTCCTGGACACTGAGCGCACTTAACCAATGAAGGTAATTGACCGTATATGACATTTATCTAATTTTTTAAAAGTTACAGAGTAGGGAAATCTAAGTTTCTGTTCTCCCAAAAGCATAAAGAGGAAAATAAATCTCTTTTTGCACCACTCTGTAAATCACAAATGAAACCATTCTCTCTGGCTATTAATTATTGCTTAAGAGTTCCAGCAGTACTAACCTACGGGCTCTATACTTTAAAAGTTGATTGTTTTTAATATTTGTCATAAACCTTATGAGTAGCTCTATACCCTAAAAATCCTATTCCATTCATGATGTAGCTGAATTACTAGTATCTGAGTAACACTCCACAGACTGCAGTAAGCTAGGATGGCACAGACTTTATTTACATAGTTACTAACACATGTAGTTCACACAGGATTCTGTGGGTTTCCAGTCTCACTTGAATGTCAATAAAATGATCAGAGAAGTCATTTTATGAAAATTATAATAAAAATTGTAATAAATATGTATACTCAGTGCTAAACTACAGTAGGCCTTATATTTCATAAAATATACCTGAATATGGTACTTAGGTAACTGAAAACAGAATAAAACAGTTGTAAAAAAATAAAACTCATAGCCAGGTAATGTTTCTTCTAGTTAACTGGAAATTATGATTTGTATTAGGATTGGATCATTATGTGAGCCAATAAGATTAGAGATAACTTACCTAAATCCCTAAGTGATTTTATTAGTTTTTTACTGATTTTGAGAACTCAGAAAAGGAGGTATTTATTTATGTTAGGCCCAGATTCTTTTAGCAATATTTCCTTCACAACTGCTGGTAATAATGAATCCAACTCAATAATCATGTTAAAATTTACATTAACACTTCTGACAAAAAATGAAAACAAAATTATTTCCCTCATATTTAAATTTCTACACCTTGGACCAAGGTGTCAAACTCATTTTCACTGGGGGCCACAGCAGCCTCTTGGGTGTCTTCAAAGGGCCCAATGAAATTTTAGGACTGTAGAAATGTAACTACTCCTTAACTGTTAAGGAGTTGAAATTACACTCGGCCCTTTGAAGGCAACCACGAGGCCGATGTGGCCCCGCCCCCCCACCCTGTGAAAATGAGTGTGATACCCTTCCCCTAGACAGACTGAATGTATCCTTAAGGAAACTGAGCAACCTATAGCTATTTTACTTCAAAGAGATAATTTGTCCTAATTTTAGTATGACTTGGCTTTTAAAAGAATTATCACAATGTCAGCTTTAGGAATGTTAAGACAAGTATATAAAATTAAAACTTTTTGTTAGTATTTTAAATTGAAATATAGTTGGTTATAAAAGTCTCACGAATCTGTTTTTTAAAGCCATGCTTCTCCTTAGAGATGAAAACATAAAAAACAGAAAACCAGAAAAGTCAAGTGTTTGTCTTCTAAAGATATAATCAATCCATGATTAAGTAATTCTCAGATGATTTATAACTTAACATATTGAAAACTTCTACAATTAATTTGTAATTGCCACATTTACAAAGAAACTTCTGGGTAATAGAATCTTTTAAAAAACATTGTTTGGTGTTACATTTAAGCCCAAAGTTCATTTATTTTAATCACCCATGACACATTTGTAAAAAAATTTTTAAACTTAGGAAAATGCAATTATTAATATGGCTTAATTCAATTATACCTATATTCTGTAAAATTTTGTCATACACTTAAGTACTACTAGAGCAGTAAGATTACTTGCACAGAAAAAAAGCAAAGACTTTCACATTAAAATTATAATTGTTTCATACTTATGGTAGTAACTGAAAATATTTTGGAAAATATTATTAATGGTCTTGACTGTAACAGTTTATTGCATTTTTTTGTCTCTCTTTTTCAATATTAGGTTCTCTGATTTGGAGTTTTAAGTTCGGCTTTTCCTCTTGTCTTCAAATAGACTCTTCAGCATATAAACTTGAATGGCTGACACCACCACCATAACCACTAAGTTAACCATGGACCAGAAATTGACTCTGTCGAAATTGCTTTCTTGTATATTTCGATCACGAGCTTCAAATGCTCTAAGCAGAGTTTGGATATGACCACTTTTGCTTAGTCTGGACTTGATACTGTTGATAGATTCCTGGAGATAAAGAAAACAGTTTCACTATAAAAGAATAATCAGTAATTTTAATTTAAAAATGTGTTTCATAGCACCCTGATATTCATAACAGTTCTATATCTAAATACAATGTTTCTTAAAAAAGATTTTATTTATTTATTTTTTAGAGGGAAGGGAAGGAGAAAGAGAGAGAAATATCAGTGTGTGGTTGCCTCTCATGTGCCCCCCCAACAGGGGGGGCTGGCCCGAAACCCAGGCATGTGCCCTGACTGGGAATTGAACTGGCAACCCTTTGGTTTGCACGCCCATGCTCAATCCACATAACTACATCAGCCAGGTCTACATACAGTGTTAATTAAGGGACAGATGCTATTTAGATTACCTTAGAGTACCTAAAGATCTTCTTCTGTAAGTTTATGTAATAGTTCTGACACTTTAAATTATTGTTACAGAATTATTTAACAAAGGAGCAAAGCTACTGTGAACTCAAAATAAATAATATAAATATATATTCCAATGGCATTATGCCAGGAATTTCACATACATTATTTCTTTCTTAGCCCTCATAACCATAATGAAGTTTTAAAAAACTGAGCTGGTAAGTTTTTAGATACTTACTTCTATATAATGCATTGTATGTTAGTATTTTCCCCTTTAATGTTAGTCTGGTCCAAATTAGTATTTAGCAAAACACCCAATGTTTTTATCTCACAACACAGTGAAATTAGAAAATACTTCAATTTGCCCTGGCTAGTGTAGCTCAGGGGACTGAGCACAGGCCAGCGAAGCAAAGGGTCACTGGTTCTATTTCCAGTCAGAGCACATGCCTGGGCTGCAAGCCAGGTCTCCATTTGGGGGCACAGGAGAGGCTACCATATACCGATGTTTCTCTCCCTCTCTTTCTCCTTGCTTTCCCCTCTTTTTAAAAATAAATAAAATTTTTTTAAAACTTCAATTTTATAAGTGCATTCTATACATATAAAAGTATCATGTATTTTTAATAAAAACATATTCCAGTCCTGGTCAGTGTGGCTCAGTGGATTGAATGCCAGTCTGAAAACCAAAGGGTTGCTGGTTTGATTCCCAGTCAGGGCACATGCCTGGGTTTTGGGCCAGGTCTCCAGTTGGGGGCATGTGAGGGGCCACCATACAGTGATGTTTCTCTCCCTCTCTCCTCCCCATAAATAAATAAGTAAATTAATTAATTAAATCTTAAAAAAAAGAGAAGTAAAAACATATTCCAACATCACAATCATTGAACAAACTTACCAGGATGCATTCTAAGTTACATATCTTCTGAAAAAGCTATTTTACAGGAGGGACTCGGTCAGAAATCATTTGAAAACTAACTACAGACTATATGAACATAAGGTAAAATTAAGTTGAGATTTAAAATGATGTTAAAGTATTTATGGCAAAAATAAGAAAATCCAAGAAACAGACTTTTCTGGAGAATCACTTTGCTTTAAAATCCTCATTTAAGCAAAAAATATACTCAAAATTTCAGCCTGTTGTGTTAATTTTACAAAACCACAAAATATAATATTTATCATATGGTCATATTTGTAAAGAAATACAAATATTTTCCAGAAAAATAAGGGGTTCAGCTCCTCAAAGAGAAAGTATAATGATGATAGTCATACATAAAGTTATTTGTTCCAGTTTGCTATTGTAATACAAAATTAGGGGGAGTAAATGTCAAAAAGCTCCTGAAAGACACTTTTTTTTCCTTAAAAAGGGATTTGTAAGTATTTTAAGCCATATTTAAACCTAAACTTTCTAGTCATTTTGTTTAACTATGTGAATAAAGTCAATCTCTTGAGAATGCAGTGAAGCACTAGTAAGATTTACAATTACTTGTATCTTATTCCTGTTGGCAAAATAAATTTTAAATGGAACAATATACACATGTGATTGAGATTTTTAAAATGGGTGTGAAAAGCCCTGCCTGGTGTGGCTCAGTGGGTTGAGCACTGGTCTGCAAACTGAAAGGTCGCCAGTTTGATTCCTGGGCAGGGCACAGGCCTGGGTTGTGGGGCCAGGCCCTTGGATACGGGCTTGCAAGAGGCAACCAATCAATGTTTCTCTCCCTCTCCTTCTCTCTCCCTTCTCCCCTTTAAAAATAAACAAATAAAAATGGGTGTGAAGACTGGATTATAGTGAAAGTATAAATATATCATTTGCATTTTAATTTTACGCCAGTACACCTTATCTAAAAAATGGAAGGGGAAAGGAAGGAGACTGGAACTATACTAATAATAAGTAAATCACCTTCTAGCTGTAAACTTCAGCTAAGTTTAATGCACTTACAAAATCAGGGTGAGATCCAAAACTGTCATGGTAAAAATTCATGCCAGTCAAACTTAATACTTTCAGTTTGTGTTCACAGTAACATCGGTGGAAAAGGTAAGAAAACTGACATTTGTTGTGTGCCAGACACTGCTGAAAGCACTTATACACATGGTATATCACATTTCATCCTCACGCTCGTGAGGTATTGTCCCCATTTTGCAGGCTGGAAGCCCTGAGGCTCAAGGCTCAGAGGCTCTCTGAGGCTCAGAGAACTCAGTCATCAAGGAATTATGCATACAATAGGACCATTTAATATTTCAACTTAACTGATTTATGTCTCTTCCGCTGTAATTTGTTCCTTTCCTAAGAAACTTAAAATGACCAAAATATCACATTATAAAAAGGAAGTTCAGGTGATAAGCATATAGAGCTTATACCATTTCAAACTTGCAATAACAATGTCATTTCTCTTGCAGGAATCTCTCTGATAAAGTTATACATGCTGTTTACATATATCACTGAGTAAATTCCTTTTTTAAAAAAACATTTTCCTTAATTATTTTTAGAGCCAGGGGAAGGGAGGGAAATAGGGAGAGAAACACTGATGTCAGAGAGAAACATCGATCCACTGCCTCTCATATGTGCCCTGGCCCCAGGAACAGAACCTGCAACCCAGGTACCTGACTGGGAATGGAACCGGCGACCTTTTGCTATGGAGGACAAAGCCCAATTGAGCCACACTGGTCAGGGCTCACTGAGTAAATTCTATCCTTTGATTACATCTAGCTGTGGCTGAAGGGTTATGACTTTTCCCTCTATTGTTGGCAGTACTATTATTAAATGCAAATAGATTCTTATACATGTACATTTCAGATGCATGTTTATAATAAATGAAGTGTAAAGGAATTCAAGCAAAGAAGCCATATCCGAAGTTTTTACTCCTGAGTGTAATGCTAGTTTCTGATAACTGCTAGCTTTGGTTTGGGCAATGAAATCAGTGTTACCAAATTACTCAAATAATATGAAATCTCATGTTATAAAAACTGTGCAGGAAAAATGACCGAACATCTTAAATTTCTACAAATTACTTGGGATTATTCTATGTGCAAGTATATTATAGATCATTACATTCTTCTATTACTGGACGTTCTAAGGGAATTTTGTAGTTAAGAGCCTGTATTCAATTCTAGTTCTCCCTCTCTCTGGTTATATGACAGAAACATCACCTAATCTCCCAAAGATGACAATGTCCTCAATGGAAAGATGGAGGATTACAGGAGACAGTGCAATTGAAATACTTAGCTCAGTGCCTGTCACACAGTAAGGCCTCTGGATGTTATAATTTTTATTCTATTAAAAGACCATACTGACCAGGATATCTTCCAGCTTCATATCCAACATGTCTGTGCCAGTAATATATTTCTTCCAGTCCTCCTGTTCTTGCTCCTGTTCTCCCATATCATCCAGGATTAATTCAAAGAAAATCACCTTCTCAGAAATGGTGCTGAATGTATTATCAAAGCAGAACATGTAGTCACCAACTTCAGTCTCTACCCTGTATTTAAAAAAGTACACCTTCAGTTATTTGTACTTGTATTTTCGATAAAAGAAAAAAAAAAGCTACTACACAGTAATGGTTTATAATAATTGGGCAGCTTACTGATAGACTTCCTTAGTATTCAAAGTTAATTTATAAGTTCTTGGGAAAGAGGCAACCTGGAAATATACAGGTGTGGGCAAAAATAGGGTTATAGTTATAATACAAAATACAAATAACAATACAATAATAAACTGCTTCATGTACTCAGAACTATAAATCTACCTTTGCCCACCCTTGTATATTCAGGTACTTGAAATCTACGTGTGCTTGGCATTATGGTAAATGATCTTGACCTCATTTTTGGAAAATAATATAATTAAAAACCTAGACACATGAAATCTCACAATAAATTTCAAGATTTATGTTATAAAAAGTAATTTATCATGAGTTCAATTCATATAGAAATATGACTAGAAACCTCCCCTTCAATTGAGATTAATGTGTAAAGTGAGTTTTGTTTTCAAAAGCAGTGATGTATTTAAATGCTTTCTTTCACACCTCCCACCAATTAAGTGCATCTTTGGAATATAGTTAGGGTAACAGTAATTCAGTTGTCTAGAAAAATACATTTACATGTAACTCCTCATTACAGGCAGTGCTAGACAAATAGATATTATTTATACTCTTTAAGGTTGTATTTGGAGAAATTTTTGCTAACCCTAACTTTTAGAAGGGCAGTATTTATTTTAAAAATTTAACTTAGAAGGGGCGGGGGAGGCTGGGAAGGGAAAAACAGACAAAAAACTGTACTTGAAAAATAACTAAATAAAATTAATTAAATAAAAAATAAAAATTTAACTTAGGAAAAAAGATTTCAATGTCATAAATGAGATTTTAGTTGCCTTTAAAAAGTTAATATAGTTAAAAGATACAATTTTTGTTATAATCTAATTTTGACAAAGTAGATGTGTAAATTTGATATAGTGATTAAGATTGATTTGGACTGCCTGGGTTTTAAACCCAGGCTTTGGTGATCACTAGCTGTGGAACCTTCCCTCAGTTTACCAAACAGCTCTACACCTCACTTTCCTCATTGGTAAAATGATGATAATAACATGTACCTCAAAGGACTGTGGTGAAGAATGAAAACATACAAGTTCATGTACAGTGCTTAGAACAGTGTCTGGGCACATCAAACTCAGTAAATGTGAACTCTTATAAACTCATTTTTATCTCCTAATGTTTAATGAGAGGTAATTCTATGCACTAAAGCAGTAAAATACTTTTTCCCCCTGAAAGTCAATATTTATCACTAAAGGAAAGCAGAAAATTAAAGAACAAAAACTAATAAATTCTACACATTTTTTATGTTCAGAAATGTAAAGATGAACTACATTTTTAGTTCTTATTCATATATCTATCAAAGTATAGTGTATAATGCACACTTTTTTGCCCAACTTTTTGAGGAGAAAAATAAGGATGCATATTATCCATGGGTAGTACTAATTCCATATCTATATGTTTTAACTTCTTTTACTTATGCTTATGTGTTAAAAGTATAACTCGAGAAAGCAGTAATAATATCCATATGCAAAATACCCCAGAACATGATAATCACTTTTGTTCCTAAATATAAGTAAATAAATAAATAATTGAATTAAAAATTAAAATTAAATATTTTTTTCCTGAAAGTTTTGGCCAAAAATGTGCATGTGCATTATACACATCAAAATATGGTAGTTAATCCCAAGTATATCAATCTAAACTGACCTTTTAAATTACTACTCCTCACCCTGGCTGGTGTGGCTCAGTGGACTGAGCACTGGCCTGTGAATTGAAAAGTTGCTGGTGCAATTCCTAGTCAGGGCACATGCCTGGGTTGCAGGCCAGTCTCAGGTTGGGGTCATGTGAGAAGCAACTGATGGATGGATGTACGTCAATGCATTTCTCAGAAATCGCTGTTTCTTTCCCTCTCTCTTTTCCTCCCTTACCCCCTTCCTAAAAGTAAATAAAATATTTTAAGAAAGTAAATAAATGACAATTTCCCTATTTTATATATTAATAGTTTATGCAAACTATTTTTCTGAACTCTTCATAGCTAAAATGCCTCTTTACAAAGCAATCTAAAATTAATACCTTAAACTATGATGGAGATATTTCCCCCCTCATTTTGTCATACATGTATTCAGTTTTTACTATCAATTACATGCCAGGTACTTTCATTACCAAAGACCAATAATTACAATAATAGCTAGTACTTACATAGTGCTATGTGCTACGGATGTTCTAAGCATCATATAGTAGAAAGAATTTTGGCCCATCCTGCCTCCTCTTAATAAATGTATATCCCTGCAGACTTATTTAACTTCTCTGAGCTGCCTTGTCTGTAAATATTCCTTGTCTGTAAAATGGGAATTAGGGAATCAGAGAATCTTTCTCACAGTGGTTTGGAATAATTTAGAAGCATATAAAATGCAAAGCCTTAGGAAAAAATTCCACTTCAAATAAGTCACAAGATTTTCTCTTTTGGTACAATGTCTATCTAGCATTAAATAAATAGTTGTTACAATATTTATTACTGTACCCTCACAACTGAGAGAAGAGCACAGTTCTGAGGATGTCATAATTGAATAAGAGATAATTCTACTTTTCTTAATGGGCAAACTGACCATATCTGAGGAACTGTTTTGGTTTCTCTGGTACTACACTTTAAGAGGAGCTTAGAGCATCTTCCAATGAAGATAAAAGAATTCACAGTCTTACAAAAAAATGGTCAAGGGAAGGAAGAATGATTTACTTGGTATAAAGATAACTTGAAGGGAACATGGTATCATATCTATCTTCAAATATTTAAACAGTTATCCCATAAAAAAAGAAGGAAAGCCATATTAATGGGCAGAAATTTCAGGAAGATACATCAAAAAATGTAAAGTTTAGTTTATGGCAAATTATTAGATACTCTGTATTCTTTCTTCTTCCTATAAACTCAAAGAGTTTTGTTTTAACAACAATACTGAGTAACAAAAGTGGTAAAGTACCAAAAAGGAACACTGAAACATCAGTGACAGATTAAAAAAAGGGAAATAAGGTTAAGAAGCGAATATATGGCGTGTTGTCAAATTTAAACTCAAAGTGTTGTAACAAGTATTTTCTTTTTATATGGTTTTCTATGGTCAGATTTTTTTACTTTTGGGTCTTCCAATGGTCTAAAAAAGTGAGGCCTGAGTAAAAAAACAACTTTTACATACACACACACAAATGTATTTATTTTACTGTTGTTTTAAGGAAGAAAAGAATGGGCAAAGATGATAGCAAGCAGCTCAAGAACTTTAGGATACACACCCGGAATGGTAACTGAAAGTTAGAACAGAAAGCCTGTGCTAGCCAGAAAGGCAGGTTAAAATTGCCAAAATAGACTGAATGCAAAACCTAGGGAATGCTCATTTATTTAACCAGAGCAAGGAAGAAGTTTAATCAGGATCAACACAAAATGCCTAAACAAAAAGAAAGAGGTCAATGGAAAATACTGTAGTTTTTAAGGCAGATTACTATCAAGGACTGGTTAAAATGTTCATATAGAATTGATATTTAGTACCAAATGTGCTAAATTTCCCTGCCCCACAGAGAGCCCAGAAAAATCAACTAAGAGGTTACTTACGTGTGAACTCCATCCGATTTTCTTTGCTCAAAAACTAAGGTTCTTCCTTCTGGAGAAGCAAGATGGAAATCAATATCTAATCCTGCTCCATCTAAAACCTGTAGAATAGTTCAGAAGAGAAGAACATATATTACAAATTCTGAAAATAAATGATATAAAGTAGATGATAAAAAAATGTCTTTATAAACCTCGAGGGGAAAGAAAGCCAATGGACTCATTAGGGCAAGAAAAAACAGAAAGATCATCTAGTTCAATTTCAACAATTTTTGGAACTGGTCCCCTTCTTACCAATTCCTGTTGGCTATCATGGAAATTTAGACCTTATAGGTATTACTAAAATAATCTTTCTAAAAGCAGTGCCTTCACTGAGAATCCTGTAGAGTAAAAAGAGACAGAAAAAAGTTCAAATCTAGGACCTTTCACTTAGGCAATTTATGGTATGCTATGTAACTTTTCTGAGTTTGTTTTCTCTTCAATAAAATAAGAATTAGCTATTTCTTAGCCTAGAATTCAAGACCTCCATGATTTGATTCCAATTGACTTCTTCAACAGATTCATCTATTGTCCCCAGTATGAACCACATATTCAAGGTAGGCTGTGTACTTGCTGGCCAGTGAACACTGTTCCTTTACAATCCAAACTGACCTCCTGCTGCTGCTGCTGAGAAGACAGCTGCTCCCAATTACAGTTTATACCACACATGGTTGATTATTTATTTAATTTACTTACGTACACATTTATTCAGAGGATATGCTTATTGATTTGACAGAGAGAAACATCGACCAGTTAGTTGCCTCTCATACATGCTCTGACTGGGGATCAATTCCAAAACCCAGGTATGCACCCTGACTGAGAATCGAACCAGCCACTTAACTGTTTTAGTCTACAGGATCATGCTCCAACCAACTGAGACACCCAGCCAGGGCCATACATTGTCTGTTAAGTGCTTTATATGGATTAATTTATTCCTCACAACTCTAAAAGGTAGGTCCTATTATTCTCCTTTTAATAAAAAATAAAAAACTGAGGTTCAAAGAAGTTATTTTCCTGAGGTGATACAGCAAGTAAGTGGCATGGCTAAAATATGAACTCAGCAGTCTCTCTCCAATGGCTACTCTTTTCCTTATGAAACACTCCATTTTATTTTTCTTGGAATGGGATGATATAACAGATTACCTACTCCTGTTCTCTACTTACTGATCAAAAGAACCTATTTCAAATGACTAGTTAAATATACACAATTCTTTCTCCTCTTTAAATCCCAATGAAATGAAGAAAATATAAATACTCCATAACAATACTGGAAATCTCAAAAGCCTGTTAACAGACTTGAAGAGGAAGAAAATTCTGAAAGATAACTACACCGATCAAAGGCTGTATCTAGCTACAGGTATCTCAAAACTCTCAATTAAATGTACTTTACAAACAAATGTAATGTTAGCAGAATGAACATGGATGGAGACTAAAAATCAGAGAACTAGAAAGAGCCAACGAATTCTCAGAACAAGATGAAAAAGTATAAATGAAAAAGTATGAGAAATAGTAAGACCCTTCATGAAGGACAGAGCTAAAGATCTGAAATTATCCATCTAATAAGCAGTTCAAAAAGAGAGGCACCAGAGAAATAAAGGGAGGAAATTATCAAATAAGGGAATAAAAATTCCTGTTTCAAAAAATAAAATTCATTAGACTGAAGCAGAATAAATAAAAGATCTAAAAATCCTACCATCTTTCCAAAAGGATTTAAAAAGAACAAACTAGAAAGAAACTTCTAACACTAGTAATAGAGAATTGCCAAAAATAAAAACAAAACCCAAAAACCCCTCGCCACCCCCAAACTAAGCAAAACAAACAAATGAACAAGAATTGGGGTTGGTGACAGAATTCTTATATATAAGAATGGGAAAACCCCCTACAACGAAGCCATGTCTTCAATGTTCCCAAGTAAAAAAATTACACAGTTTACTGAAGTGAAAGCAAAAGTAAAGCCACTTTCATATTATCCAAGGCCTCAAAACATTCTACGAGAATCACTCAAGGCTATCCCCCCCCAAAAGGTATCCATTAAATCAGAAAATGAACTATAAAACACCTAAGCAAATTTCAATAAAATTAAGTTTAAAAGATATTTTTCATGGTGGCTATCAGGCTTTTAAAAATGGTCCTTAAGAACAGACATTAACTATAGACATTAACTTAAAAATATATAAAATACATATTCAAAATGTAAATTTTTAAAAATATAAATTTTATTTAAAAAATGTTAACCACCACAATCCAAAACTAAACGTCCAGATAATTTCAATGGAACATGGTGGGCCAGTGCCACTTCCCCCGTCTGTACACCGTGGTAACAGTGTTTCAACCCCTCAAAAGCAGCCTTCTGTCTTATTCCTCAGGGCCCTGTCACATGCTGCTCTTTTTACCCATCACCTTGTTCTACTGACTTCCTTAGGCCTAGCAAGCCTGATTCTTCTGCAGATCTGAATTCTACTTCCTCTGAAATGTTTTCTCCCAATTCCCAGATCAAATCAAGTCCTCCTTTTAAATACTCTCATAGCTGTATACATTTATTTACCTTCATAGCACGTGTTAGACTTGTAATTTCACTCTAAATTTGTGTAAATTTGTGTAATAATTAACATCTGTCCCCACACAAGATTGTGTAAGAGTATGAACTATTCATAGCACCTAGCAGAGTGCTTATACAAATTAAGCACTCAATAAAGATTTAAATTTTTAAATGAGCTATTCATGAAATATATATATACTGACAATTAAAATTTTTGAGAATATAATGTAGGGCTCATCAATTATTCTGAAAGTGTCCTCCTAACCCTGAAAAGCAAGAAATGGTTAATGATTTCAGTTTGTTCAATGGCAATGTTTGGAACCTGCATTCTCTGAAATTTTAAAAATCAACACAAAACCCAGTAGCTTATAGTTAATGCAGTTAAGTACAGAGTAGGAAAATGCAGACAAAGGGCCAAAGATGATCTCTACCCAACACTCCTCCAACACTGTCTAGGATTATAGACATTAAATTGTTTTACTTTTCTTCTCAATTAAAACAAATTGTTTAGGGAGCATGAATGCTTTGGGGGAATAGCCCCTTTAAGAGTGACTAAATATACAATGTATAAAGCTAAACTAAGCCAGCAATATAACACTAGCAGTGTAAATGTAAAAAAAAAAAAAACAACATTCATTTAATAGTTACTATGTGTCATAGACAGTTTATGGACACACTTATTAACTCATTTTTTCAAATCTCAGAGGTAATTACTATTATCTCTATTTTATCACTGAAACACCAATGCCCCCTATTATCTCTATTTTACAAATCAGAGGTTAAGTAACTTGTTCAAAATCACACAAGTAGTAATTGAGAGGACTTCAACCCAGTCATTTTATCTCTTGAGCAAGAGCTCTTAATCTTAAGAGGTCAGTAGTTAAACTGGATTTCCTCCCTAAATTACCTGGGTAAATACTGAGGAATTTTTGAGCAATACAAATTGCATTCTTATGTGGACCATTTCACTAATTTCGACCTCCTTAAACCCGCCTTCCACCCAGTGATCTATCTGAAAAACACTTTTGACTGTTACCATACTTAAATTTTCAATGGCTCTTGCACAGAATAAGGGCACAGCTACTTAACATGGTGCACAAGACTAAGATAATAATGATCTATGATCAAGCCTCCTGATCTCTTTTTCTTTTACTCCCACACAACTTTCCAAACTTGGTCTAATAAAAACTCAGCACTTGTAGTGTCCACTACATACTGCCCACTGCCAAAACACTCCCACTATGCATTTTCAGATCCATCTATTCATTTTGTTCCTTTTCCTGAAATGTTCTCCCTTCCTTGCATTCTTAACTTAAGCATCTTTCTAGATTCAACTTTATTTTATCCAGGAATCTTTTTCTGAAACCCTAGAGAAGTGACCCTCCTCTATTAGCACTTAACCATACTTTATTGAAATTACTTGTTTATGAACCAGTACCCCTTAGTATTTCAAGTACCCTTTGAAAATAGGGACTCTTTTTCTTTTTAACCCCACGCCCCTACTTTGCCCCCAGCACTGGCACATGGTACTGTTCAGTAAGGGAACTTTTGAACTAAACTGGAAGCTTAAAAATTTGAGTTCTGGATTTGGTTTTGCTAACTACGTAACTTTAGATTCACCCTATGTTTACCTTATAAATCTATAAATAATCTAACTCTAGTCCCTCTGGCAGAAAATTCTACATAACTCTTTATTTTGCTCTATATGTGAAGTACCTGTTACTGGAAAAAGATTCCCTACAACTTAAAAAAAATTGACATCTGATTATAAATTAAGTAATTTGTAAAAAAATTAAAAGATGAACTACACCAACACATTTCTTTCTGCAGTGCTACCTAGAGACATTGAAATTAGCTGTGTGGAACTAACAAGACTTCTAAGAAATTACCCTCTACCAGGAGGACTACATTAAACTAAGGCAATTCCCTATATAGTATTATGCAGATACTAAAAAGAAACCAATGATATGGGGGAAAAAGAGCTTACAGTGCTGGGTGAAAGGTTACAATTTTTAATATACAATTAGATCTTTATTAAAAAGATGTAAGATAAGCAAACGTACCATTCATTACATATACATCAATAACCCATTTCACAATATTCCAAAATCGAATTTAGTGATAATCACATGGTCACGATTCAAAAACCCTTAACTGAAGCGATGACAGTTAAGATGTATAATACTGAGGTTGGGTGAGGGTGGTGGCGTGATCTCGTCCAAACATAAAGGAGAACGTGTCTCAGTCCTATATTGTGAAATTCTCAGTATTGGAGCATGTACTCTCTAGCAAAGGGATGGCAGAAAAAATCCAGACATTAGCAGTGCTGCCCTCTCTCCGACGGGAGGAAAGGGAAAAGGGCACAGTCAATGGCAGGTCTCGCCTAACTTGCCAGTTCACGGCCACACCAAGCCCAGTCTCACGCGCCTGCGCAGAGCTGGCCTGCGGCCGGCGAGGCCCTCACCTCTTCACCTCCCGGGCAGTGCAAAGGAAGTTTCGAAACGGGTGAGAGGCGACGACGTAGTGCAGCGGAGCTAATGGAAAGAGGCTGGCTTACCCTCCAGACTTACTTGGTACTCGATCTCCAAGGAGGCCTTCAGAGGCATGGGCTGGTAGAAACACTCCTTGCGGCCGGCCGGAAGGGTAAACGTGAAGTCGCTGTCTAAGGAATGCGTGAAGCTGACCACTCCCGGCAGCAGCAGAGCGGCCAGGAGGAGCACCGGGAAGGGCAGCCCGGTCTTGCCGCCCATCCCTGCCGGGGCGCTCTCGAGAAATGGCGTTGGGAGGTGTGGGTGGTCCGCACGTGGGTTCTAGCGTCCTCCGACGACTCCTTGTGGTTGGCTGGTAAACCTGGAGAAAATTCCAGGTGGCGGCCGCGGCGGCAGACACTCGCAGAATGCGTGCTACGCCAGCCACCAAAGGGTAAGAACTGAGGGCAGGGCTAGCAGTCCCTTTCCCCACCCTCCGAGGTCTCCCCTCCCTCTGGCCCCGCGTGAGCACCTCCCACCTCACAGCTGGGTGGCCGCAGGTTCCCACGGCTTCCCCAACACCAATGGGCGCAGTATGGGTAATTGTGGGAAATGTAGTTCCGAGCTAGCCGGCTCAGACGCGCCCCCGGACCACGGTCCCTGGCGGGCCGCGCGCTTCCTGAGTCGCCACGCCCACACTTTGCGGAGGGGTGGAGGGGGCGGTGCTGCGGCGCCTCAGGTGCGACCGCAACGGTTCCCGCGACCGTTCGAACTTTTCTGAGTTGGCTGGTTCTCGGTGTGTGGTGTCTGCTGTTCCCACGCCCGGGGCCCGCGAGAGGGTCCAAGGCTTCGGAACGCAAAGGAGAGCGCGGCGGGCGCTATCGACGGGTGCGTGTCCCTGCCAACGAACGTTTGGGTGGTGAGCGACTGCTGCTTTTTGAGCGGAAACAGGCCTACTTGGGGGAGTTGTGTCGGTTACCTGCGGGCACCCTCGGAGCACTTACTCCGGACCTCCTGTGCTGCGCACGCTGCTCTGCCGGCTGGTATTTTAGTTGAGGGAAAAAATGAAGAGGAAGATGTCTTATTTGCCACGTTCAGATAAACGTAGGATCAGTTTTGTCCAGATGAGTGGTTTTGACACAAGAATCTTTTTTTGGACTATAGCCCATCCTATTATATACAGAGGCTACAAAGAGCACTTGTTCTTCGTTGCGATGGTTGTGCTTGTGAACAGTTACAGACGCGTTTTTAGAGCCAAAAGGTGACGTCAGGGTCAGTAGATAGCATGTGCTTTTGCACATATGTACAGGCAATGAAGATAGACTTTTATGACTACTGAAGGGAGGAGGAATCTTCACTTGACAATACATGGCCCACTAGGAAAAAACTTTGAGTATCAAATGAATTCATTGATACTTCAGAAGGGTTAGAGATTTTTTACATGAAAATACATGGAAGATGTTGGACATTCTGATATAGTTGAACCATAATATCGAATGACATTTTAGAATTTTCAAAAATTTCTTCACCTTTTTTCTCTTTACCAACCTGCAGGAAGCTAGAGATGTTGAAAAGATAAAGCAGAATGGGGACCTGATCTATTGATTTTTGTCTGGGAGAGTCTTCTCACTTAAGCAGAAACAAATTTGTGGAAACAAAAGGGGAAAGAGGATAGAAACATTGTCTCTGAGACTGCTTAGTATCTCAATTTCTTGCTATCGTTTCTTCCAATAAGGTGAGAGGGTTTTTTTTTTTTTTTTTCAGTCTTTCTCCTCACATCTGAGAATAACTTGTCATACTATTTTAGCTGAATAGGGGGAAGGAAGGGCAGTTTAATAATCATTTAGTCGCTGAAAATACTGAACTTATTTAAGTGCCTTACAGTCCTGAACGTAATTCACAGGACTTCTGGCTGTTTGGAGTTTGAGAGGTGGTCAAAATTCTAGAAGGGTGGTAAAAGAGGGATGCTACAGTGACAAAGGTAAATGGGATCTGAAAGGAACGTGCTTTTAAGATTATACAGAAAGAGATAGGAATGGTAGAGATGATAAAACCTTCATTTAATTGTGTTAATTATGAATTATAAAAAGTTGTGGCTCTTTCAACTTCACAACCCTAGGGATACACATTTTTTAAAAAAAGATTTAATTTAGTTATTTTTAGAGAAGGGAAGGGAGGGAGAAAGAGAGAAACATCAATGTATGATTGCCTCACCTGGCCCCCGCACTGGGAACCTGTCCCACAATCTGGGCATGTGCCCTGACTGGGAATTGAACCTGCGATCCTTTGGTTCGCAGCCCATGCACAATCCACTGAGCTGTGCCAGCCAGCGCTCTAGAGGTACACTTTAGTTGAAGAAATAAAAGCTTTCTCTCATGTATTTCTGTGAGTTTACCTGCCAAAGATCATTTTGATCTCTGTGCTTGTTATATGATTCTGTGCTTTTAAATTTTATAACCATTAGGAATGGGAGAAGGGGATATTTCTTTATCTGGTAATAAATTGCCTTTAAGGAAATGAATGACTTATAATGATACCAGTTTTATGAGATGTCCAGAGCTTGTAATGTGATTATGTGAGTTCAAACACCTCATTGAAATTGATATATAATAAGAAAATTGCAGTGTGATAATTAAAAGGTCTTTGGATCCTGATGACTTAGGTTCAAATCTTGGTTCCACCATTTACAGTTTGCATGACCTTGAGAATATTATTTAATTTTTCTTATTCATCTTTATTTATTTTTAAAGATTTTATGTATTTTTGTATTTTTAGAGAGAGGGCAAGGGAGGGAGAAAGAGAGGGAGAGAAACATCAACTTGTGGTTGCCTCTCCTGTGCCCTCCACGGGGGGGGGTGGGGGGGTCTGACCTCCCCTGCAACCCAGGCATGTGCCCTGACTGGGAATCGAACCGGTGATCCCTTGTTTCACAGGCTGGTGCTCAGTCCACTGAGCCACACCAGCCAGAGTGAAATTGTTAACTTTTGTTTTGTTTGGTTTTAAATCACCATTAAACTTTTTATAACATTTTAAATAGGAAATTAATGAGTTAAACTCTATTAGTGTGAGAGTATCTTGACTGACACCACAGGTTCTTTCCTGCAAGGTAGTAGAAATTCATTTCTTTTTTTTAAGAAATGGAACCTAATTCATCAAACTACTATAAGAATGACAATGAAGAAGAAAATTTGCTTGCAAATGTTGCTTCTTTAAGACATGAACTGAAGATAACAGAATGGAGTTTGCAGAATTTAGGGGAAGAGTTATCCAGGTATGTAGGGAAAATCATATAGAATTCAGAGTATGATTTTAATTTATGAATGTAAAATGTACAGATATTATTATTTTTAAAAATTTTATATATTTCTTTTTAGGGAGGGGAAAGGTGAAAGAGGGAGAGAAACATCAGTGTGTGGTTGCCTTTTGAGTCCTCCCAGCTGGGGACCTGGCCTGCAGCCCAGGCATGTGCCCTGACTGGGAATCAAACTGGTGATCCCATGTTTCACAGGCTGGTGCTCAGTCCACTGAGCCACACCAGCCAGGGCTGGATTTAATTATTACTGTGTTTCTAATATGTCACTAGAATAGGAAATATAACGTCTTATAATTTTGAATATAACTCAGTTTAGGAAAAAATGGAAATATTAGAAAATTATTTACATATCGAGAAAATACCTTATAGATATAAAAACTATGAAATATGTATATTTTGGGCTTTATCTATTTTTATGCTTTTTGAAACTTAAGTAATTTAGCATAGAAGCTCTAGAAATACATAGACTGCTAGTTTAAAATTAATTATGGTTTATTTAAAAATTTAGTTGAAGCATTGCTTTAAGTTCTCATAAGTGTGAATCTGACTCCCAGCAGCATTTCAGGTGTTCTTATTGAATGTATAGAAATTTGGATTGAATTCATAAGCTGTTTAAGAACTAAAACAAATTTTTTTTCTTTTTTCTCCAGTGTCAGTCCAAGTGAAAATTCCGATTATGCCTCTAATCCCTCAAGGTCTGAAAGGCTGATTTTGGAAGATCTTTCTCAGCCTAGCCATCTTGGACTTTTGAATTACTCACCTTATAAAAAAGTGTACAAAATGCCTAGTAGCAGTACTGATTTTCAAAAACAACCAAGAGATAAGGTTATTATTTTTAGACCTCTCTACTTGAAAGTGATTTAGTTTTTGACCTACTTAAAATACTTTTTTCTTTGAGTTTTTTTCTTTAAAACGTACCTTATGCATGTTTTACATAGTCTTTTACTACAGTGCTCAAGACTTGTGGAATTTAAATTTAAATATAATGGTTCTTGTTTCATCTTAAGAAAGTAGTTAATTTGGTGTATCATATTTTTAAACTTTTGTATTTATTGCTTTTTGAAATTAAATGTCTTGTTTTCTCAAGATAAATTATTTCTCAAAATAAATTATAACCCCTTGATTTTAGCACTATACCATGTATATAATAGGCAATCAATTATTTATTAAGTGGCTAAAAAATACTTACTGTTTAACCTGGATCAGGGTGCTGTGTGACAGCGTGACATTTATTCTTTCATTACCTCTGAAATGTGAATGATCTTAGATATCTTCTCTGGTCTGGAACTTAATCTCTTTCTTCCTCTTTCTTAGTTAGTCATATTATCTAACTCCCAGTGTTTACTCCCCTTTCTTACTCAACTCTTTTATCCCCCTTTCCACTCTTCTTCCTGTTCTTTATTACCACAAATATGTATGCACAGTTACACAAGGTTTTTTGATAAAAATTTGCTATTACAACTTCAGAGAGTCAACAGTTGAGAGGCTTTCTTTAAGTAAGGAAGCTGCATAATAAAGCTGTATGACTGAACCCACATTTTGGAAAATGAATTCAAATTCCATATCTACAAAGATTATTTCATTCTGGGAAATTTGATCTCTATCCTAATTCCAATAGTTGATTATTTTTTCATCATATTTATGCTTTAGTTGAAATCATTTTATTTTACCCTAAGCAAAATTTAAAAAAAATCATGACAAATTGGGGGGGAAGTATTGGTAATGCCTATTAAAGACAAAAGACAAAGATGAACAACCCCTGTATAAGGAAAAATAAGGAAAAGACATATATGAGAAAGGAAATTAAAATGAGCTCCAAACAAATAAAAAGATGTTCGGTCTCACTCATAAAAGAAAATCACAATGAAACTACACTTAGGTACCATTTCTTACCTAACAGATTATTAAACATCTAGATGTTTGATACTGTTTTGTTGATAGAATTAGGGACAAATAGGTATTCTTGGCTGTAGGTCCATTGCTGGTACAAATGCAAAATCATACAGTCAGTATGCACCCGTTCTCCCCTCCCCCCTTCAGTCTGGCAACCATCAAAATGCTCTCTGTATCCTTGATTCTGTCTCTGTTCTTGTTTGCTTAGCTTGTTTTTTAGATTCAATTGTTGATAGATATGTATAACTATTTTATTGTTTATAGTTTTGATCTTTTTTTAACTTGAAAGAAACCACATGTTTTATGAAAACTTCAAAAATGTGTAATTTCCAAAATCTTAGTCTAACATAAAAGCATGTACCATTCCAAGTAAATTCATTTGATAACAAAATTTAATTTCTTCCGGTATATTTTCATATTTAAAAGAATTATTCATTGTTATCACTTATATAAGAAATACTATGAAACATATAGACATTAAGTACTAATACTAAAATTTATATTACTATAACTATGACATAAAATACTTAATATACTTCCATATATTGAAAGTTATTTTCTCACATCTACAAAATATAAACATTCAAAAATAGTAACTCTTATCAGAAACAATATTTTCTTTCTAACTCTTAAAATTTCTCATTGATCAGATTTGCCCTATGAATAGAAATGTTACTTTTAAATAAGTAGAATAGGAATGCTATCAACATTTTACTTTATCTTTACTTCAAATAGAGTATCATGAACTTGAATGTTCTGAAAGCAATTTTGGACAAAACTTAAATGTGTTAGATCTTTTTCTTGAATAAGTCCCTTTTACATTTCATAAAATAATGGTTCAGTGATGAACTTCAGATTTTTCTTGTTGAGGCTTTCTTTATCTGCCCTTCAATTCTAAATGATAGCTTTGCTGGGTAGAGCAGTCTTGGCTATAGGTTCCTGCTTTTCATGACTGAATGTTTCTTGACATCCTTTCTAGCCTGCACAGTTTCTTTTGAGAACTCAGCTGACAGTTTTATGGAAACTCCTCTCTAGGTAACTAACTTCTCTTGTTGCTTTTAACATCCTCTCTTTATCTTTAACCTTTAGCATTTTTAATCATGATTTGTCTTGGAGTGGGCCTCTTTGTATCCATCTTGTTTGGGCCTCTCTGTGCTTCCTGGACTTGCATGTCCATTTTTATCACCAAATGAGTGAAGTTTTCTCTCGTTACTTTTTCAAATAGATTTCTGAGTTTTTGCTCTTTCTCTTCCCCTAGCATCCTTATAATATGAATATTGGAATGCTTGAAGTTGTCCTAGAGGCTGCTTATACTAAATTCATTTTTTTTGGATTCTCTTCTGCATGGTTGTTTTCTTGCTTCCTTATGTTCCAAATCATTGATTTGAGTCTTGGCTTCATCTACTCTATCACTGTTTCCCTCTAAATTGTTCTTTATTTCAATTAGTGAATCCTTCATTTCTTTTTTTTAAAATATATTTTATTGATTATGCCATTACAGTTGTTCTGTTTCCCCCCTTCATTCCCCTCCACCCTGCACACCCCCTCCCCCACCATCCCCCCCCTTTAGTTTATGACCATGTGTCTCAAGTTCTTTAGATTCTATATTTCCCATACTATTCTTGCCCTCCCCCATATGTATTTTCTACCTACCATCTATGCTACTTACTCTCTGTATCTTCTCCCCCCTTCTCCTCCCCCCACTCCCCTGTTGCTAACCCTCCATGTGATCTTCATTTCTATGGTTCTGCTCCTGATCTAGCTGTCCTCTTAGTTTGCTTTTATTTTAGGTGTGGTTGTTAATAACTGTGTTTGCTGTCCTTTCACTGTTCATCTTTTTTATCTTCTTTTTCTTAGGTAAGTCCCTTTAACATTTCATATAATAAGGGCTTGGTGATGATGAACTCTTTGAACTTGATCTTATCTGAGAAGCACTTTATCTGCCCTTCCATTCTAAATGAAAGCTTTGCTGGATAGAGCAATCTTGGATGTAGGTCTTTGGATTTCCTGACTTGGAATACTTCTTTCCAGCCCCTTCTTGCCTGTAAGGTCTCTTTTGAGAAATCTGCTGACAGTCTGATGGGAACTCCTTTGTAGGTGACTGTCCCCTTATCTCTTGCTGCTTCTAGAATTCTCTCCTTCATTTTAATCTTGGCTAATGTCCTTATGATGTGCCTTGGTGTGTTACTTCTTGGGTCCAACTTCTTTGGGACTCTCTGAACTTCTTGGACTTCCTGGAAGTGTATTTCCTTTGCCAGATTGGGGAAGTTCTCCTTTATTATTCATTCAAATTAGTTTTCCACTCGTTGCTGTTCCTCTTCCCCTTCTGGTACCCCTATAATTCGGATGTTGGAGCGTTTAAAGATGTCCTGGAGGTTCCTAAGCCTCTCCTCATTTTTCAAAATTCTTGTTTCTTCATATTTTTGTTTGGTGACTTTTTTCTTCCTTCTGGTCCACTCCCTTGATTTGAGTCCCAGTTTCCTTTCCATCACTATTGGTTTCCTGTGCATTTCCCTTCATTTCATTTTGTTTAGCCTTCATATGTTCCTCTAATTTGTGACCAAAATCAACCAGTTCTGTGAGCATCCTGATCATCAGTGTTTTGAACTGTGCATTTGAAAGTTTGGCTATTTCTTCATCGCTTAGAATTATGGGCTCTAGGGCTTTGAGTTCTTCTTGAGCCATGTTTTATCTGTTTGCGCCTGTTACGTATGAGGAGAGAAGCCTTAGGTGTTCACCAGGGCGGGGCTGCCCAGGTCACTGGGTTGTGATGCTGTATGTGGGGGCGGGGTCAAAGGGGGGCAATAGCGGTCCCCTCTGCTGCTTCCCACCGCTGGAGCCTGCACGGTCTGTCTCACTGCTAGCTCCTTTGCCTGGTTTATCTGCACACGAATGTGTGACCTCGGTCAGCCTGCCACCTTGTGCCCTCAGTGGGTCCGCTGGTTGCTACTCCACACCTGGGATCTGCACTCCTGGGTTGCGCGCCTGGGTTGGTCCAGTGGATCTTTCCTGCGTGACCCAGCTCAGCTGCTGGCTTCGCCCCTCTCACAGGTCTGGCTGAAAGGTTCGTTGTTGTCAGACTTCCATATTATTCAATTTTCTGTGGTTTGGCTGTGTTTTTGTTGCCAAAACTTTGTTGTTTTTAAACTTCATTGTGCGAGAAGGCACAGTGTTTCCACCTATGCTACCATCTTGGCAGAAGTCCCAAATCCTTCATTTCTGACTGGACCTTTTTTGTGCTGTTGAGGTCCTCACTAAGTTCCTTGAGCATCTTTATAACCAGTGTTTTGAACTCTGCATCTGATGGATTGCTTATCTCCATTTTGTTTAGTTCTTTTTCTGGAGTTTTGATCTGTTTTTTCATTTGGTTCATGTTTCTTTGTCTCCTCATTTTGGCAGCCTCCATGTGTTTATTTCTATATATTAGGCTTAGCTACTATGAGCCCCTGTCTTGGTAGTGTGGCTTAATGTAGTAGGTGCCTTGTAGGGTACAGTGGCACAGACTACCCTATCACCTGAGTTGTTTACTTGAAATGCACCATCCCTGTGGGCTGAATACACCCTCCTCTTGTAATTGAGTCTTGGTTGCTATTGGCAGGTCACTGAGAGAGATTTACCCAGGGCAGTCAGCTGCAAGGATTGGCTGTGACCACTGACCACCAACCTTCACCCTCTGTGGAGGATCAGCTATGTAGGGACAGGGTGATGGTGCTCTGAAGTGATCTGTAGCTGTCCACAGGGTACACAGTCTCTAGGGTTTCCCAGTTGGTGCAGGCCGAGGTCAGCCCTGTCCTGTGTTTTGCCTGGTACTACCCTACATGACCTATAAAGAAACCTGAGATGGCTGTTACTTTTGCTGGTCTTGGAGATTCACAGGAGAAGCTAAGCTGTGAATCTAGGCTGGCTACTGCTAATGCTGGGCCTGGGGCCACTTAGCAAGAGGTGTGGGATAGGGAGGCTAGGAGGCTCACTGAGGCCTGCTATTGCTTGTTTGATAAGGATTTTGGAAGTTGTTCCTAAATCCATCATATGGATTTAGGAGCAGCCATTCATATGGAAAAGTTATTGTTAACACTTTGTGTGTGCTGGTAAATTAGGTGGGACAGAATCTCAGGGGATTTCCAGGGTGGGGCAAACAGTGTTGGCCAAGTGATGGAGTCTCAGATATGGCACCCACCTGCTGGCTCTATAGCTGTGTGCAGGGGGTATGTACCAAGGGGAGTTCAGAAAAGGGCAGTGGCCTCTGCCTGCCTTTCTATCTGGGAGAAAGCTAACCCCTTGTTCTCACCTTGGTGCCAGACACTTCATCTCCTCCCTGTATGTCACTGGTGCCTTTCAAGCTGCTACTTCAGTGCTGGAGCTCAGAGAGAGTGAATCTAATTAAGTCCATGTGTGGGTTCTTTAAAAGGAACTTCTTGGGATGCCAGAAGTTTCTTCCCCCGACTCATTCTCTGCCGCTTTTTGCAGCCAGGAGTTATGGGGGCTTAACTTCCTTGCACTGGAATCCTGGGTTCAGGTGCCTGGCATGGGGCCGGGACTCCTTACTCCTGACATATCCCTCCCAAATTTTCATCCACCACCCAAGGGTGTGGGACCAGCCAGTTCTGCATCTGTGCCCCTCCTACCAGTCAGGATGGATGTGGTTTCTTTAATTCATAGTTGTCATTCAATTTGATTTTTGATGGTTCTGGGTGATGGTTGTTCTATATTTTAATTGTAATTTTGATGTGTGTGTGTGAGGAGGTGAGCTGTGTTTACCTAAGCTGCCATCTTGACCAAAAGTCCTTTTCTAGTATTTTTGATCCTCGGTTGGTTGACTCCATGAGTACAGAAGTGGTGGATATAGAGGGCTAGCTCTGTATAGCACAGGTGCTAAACACAAGGCCCGTGGGCCCCTGTACCTTGTTTCTACCCAGCAGCTGCACTGAGCTCTCCATTAAATGTTAAGAAGTATTTACATTTATACAGTCCTAAAATTACATTCGGACCTTTGAAGACAACTGAGAGGCTAATGTGGCCCCTGGTGAAAATGAGTTTGACACCTCTACTATATAGCATGCTAGTTTTTACATTAGGCAGTGAGGGTGTGGTTAATTTGTATCGCTTGCATATGCATGTGGAAACACTAGAAGGCTAGGTTTAACTAAGAGTCTAAGTTAAGTCCTATATAAGGTGTTTACTCTTTTTTTGCTGTATGAGTGATGTTAAAATGTATAAATGAGAAACTTATATAACTGGGTATGTAAGTATTAAATATGGGTACGAGACTTCTTTTGTATACTTTTATGTAGTTTTAACTGCATAATGTGGTATTCAAAATTAATTTAATCAGGTTTTGAAAACCTCAACCCTCATGAAAATTAAAAAATAATTGTAAAATATATTTTCAAAAGTGTGTAAAGGAAATATATATGCTGTTCAAAGAATATTTTATCTAATATTTATTTTATTGTTGATGGACATTTGGGTTGTTTCTATTAATGGTCTCTTATGAACAGTGTAGGTATGAATATTTTTATTTCTTCAGGTGCAAAAATAAAAAAATTTCTGTCAGATTTATACCCAGAAGTAAAACCATTGAGTCTCAGCATGTTCGGCTTACTGGGTAATACTAAGAACTTTCCCAAAGTTCCAAGCTGTGCTTATTTATGTACATGTCCACCAGCAGTGGTGGAGTGAATGCAGATTTTTCCACATCTCCTCACCAACTCTCACTAAATATCTTAAGTCATTTTTTGAGCTACTTATTTTATAGATGATTATTCATTATTTTCCATTAATTATATATAAATGCTTAATGAACTAATCAAAATTGACCTTTTGCATTTTTCAGATATTTTTTTCATCGTCTACCCCCATGGATCAGGAGATCAAAAGTCTTCGAGAGAAACTTAATAAACTTAGGCAACAGAATGCCTGTTTGGTGTCACAAAATCATTCTTTAATGACTAAAATAGAATCTGTCCACTTTGAATTAACACAGTCAAGAGCAAAAGTATGTTTCTTGAAGTGGTGACTATGTCAATCATTATAATCATATAAAGAGTTAATAATTGTAAAAATATTTCTTGTATTGCTTTAATATGTAATGTATAGTTATGATAATACAGTATCAGTATGTTGTGGAATCAATTTTATATGAATTTAGTATCTGAAAATGATTCAGGGAAACTTGTATCGTCTGTGTACTTAGGTAAGTCAGAACTTCTTAAAACCTTAAGATTACCAATTTGTGTGATTTTATTATATAAAGGAAATAAGACATTTATCTTTTTTTAAAAAAATAATATTTGTTGAAAACTTTTAAAAAAGGGAAAGTTTAAAAATAGAGAAAAGAAGAGGCAGAAAGGTCACCCAGTTCCACCATATAGGCTTTCTTATTTGTTTTAGGTATCTATGCTTGAATCTGCGCAACAACAGGCAGCCAATATTCCAATCTTAGAAGAACACATTATAAATTTGGAAGCAGAAGTTTCAGCCCAAGATAAAGTTTTGAGGTAAGTATAATTTTTATAGCTTTAAAATTTTTATTTCTTACTTCTGCCTTTTGGTATATCTTGTTACATCTTGTTCTGTGCCTCAATAAATCTGTAGTGGGCTATTGGAACAATTTCTTTTTTGAAAAATATTTTATTTATTTATTTATAGAGAAAGGGAGGGAGAGAGGAAGGGAAACATCAATGTGTGGTTGCCTCTTGAGCACTGCCAACTAGGGACCTGGCCTACAACCCAGGCATGTGCTCTGACTGGGAATCGAACTGGCAACTCTTTGGTTCGCAGGCCAGCTCTCATCCACTGAGCCACACCAGCCAGGGCTAGTGTTTTCAATCTGTGTTCAGTCCATCATAACACCTCTTAGTTACAGGATACATGCAGCATATGAGGACTAAAAAAAGAGTAAATCTAAGTTGAGATGCTTATTTACATGTTTTTATTAAATATGAACTAGTTCCTTTTTTGTCCTACATAGTATTATATACCCATTACTTCAATGGGAGTTCAAGAAATAAAATGCAAGGAATAAGACAATATATAATTTATCTTGTTTTGCTTTGAAATGAGAAATACATACATACTAAACAGTACTTTACTCCATGTTAATGACTGTCAAAGTGTAGTTCTGGGACCAGCAATATTAGCGTCATTTAGGAATTTGTTAGAAATGCAGATCTTAGGTCCTGTTGAATACTTACTGAATCATAAACTGTGAGAAGTGGGACCCAGAAATCTTATGTTTTTTTTTTTTAAGATTTTATTATTTTTAGAGAGGGAAAGGGAGGGAGAAAGAGAGGGAGAGAAACATTGATGAGAGAAACATTGATGTGAGAAACATTGATTGGCTACCTTTCATACTGGCCCTGAAATGGGGAGGCAGGGTGGGGACTGAATCTACAACCTAGGTATGTGCCCTGCCTGGAAATTGAACCATTAACCTTTTGTTTTGTGGGACCAACTGAGCCATACTGGTCAGATTAAAACTGAAATCTTATGTTTTAACAAGTCCTGTAGATGATTCAGATGTACTCTAAAGTTGTCTTTCATGACCATCAGAATTTTGCAATTTTCTTTGTGATACATATTTTATATTTAGTACTAGGTATTCTATGTTCTTAACTGTGAATTTGTTCTTTTGTTCATTGATAGTATATGGGAAGGCTACTGCTTTTCTGTAATATAATTGTTTTGTAATTAGACTATTTGTGATACTTTTATTATCTCTCTAATTTTTCATTTGATTTTCTTTGATTTTCCAGGTAGCTAATGATATCAGCAAAAAAAGAATGTTTTGTCTTTTTCATATATTTATGTTTATTACATTTTCATTTTTGCTTTTTTGCAACTGTCAGGAAAAAAATCATTGAATATAGCGGTGATAACAGTCATTCTTAGACCCTAAACTATATCATAATGCTTTTAGTCTCTGACCATGAAATATAAACTACATATTTATAATTTGATGGAAGTACTTTTTTGTTCCTTATTAAAGCTTAGTTGGCAAATGATAAATATGCCTTTTTTCTCCAAGTAAATACTCATTTCTCTTAACTCAGTGGTTTAAACTAACAGAATTCCTAATACTGAACTATTTTTGCATACTGTGATAATCTCTTTAATAGTCTTTAGAAAATACCCTTTATTTTATAGAGAAGCAGAAGATAAATTGGAACAGAGTCAGAAAATGGTGATTGAAAAGGAACAGACTTTGCAGAAGTTCCAAGAGGAATGTATAAAGTTGAAGGTGGACTTACTTGAACAAAGTAAACAAGGAAAGAGGTATGTATTTTTAAAGGAAGTAATTTTTTTTTTGGTAATTGATAAAAGACTATATTACCTGTTTAAAATTCTAGCTAAGTTTTGAAGTGAAAAATTTGCAGAAATTTGGCAGTAGAATGACTTTTCTTTTTCATTCATTTTGATTTTTATTTTCCATTAAAATGTTCATGTGTGGATTTTATGTTATTGGCATTCTTGGCTGGGATGAATTCCTAATAGTCTGATATATCAGCGTAATGATACTTATTTCTGAAATTATGTTGCATGACTTACATAAAATTCATAAGAAAATGTCTTTGGGTCTTCCTTAGGGAATACATAAGTAATGTAAAAAATATGTATTTTATTTAAACCATATCTTAAGATAAAGCTTTTCAGGTAGCCAAACCAAGGAACCATTAATTGTAAATGTCAACTACCTTTTAAAATAGTATTTGAAATGTTTTAGTTTATATTAGTGAGACCTTACAATATGATAATATGATTATAACAGCTTTCACATGGAGTAAAATCATAATCTGTATTATATTTTACAATAAAATATTTTAAAAATGTATACTATGATATAAATAAGACTACAAAGAATATATTTTGAAAAGTTGTCATAAATAGGTTAAATATTTGCATTTGCACGTAAACTAAAAAACTCTTACAACTTATCTGTAAGTCATTTTTCATTAAAATGGGTTTGGAAGAATATTATTTCATCAGCATTTGGTTATTCTATTTCCAGTTATAATGTATAATTGGTAGGCAATATTATTTAGTGGTTAATAATTAAGATTTGGAGTCAAATAGCCAGATTTTACTTCTCAGTGGCTGTGTTACCATGGGCAAATGATCTAACCTTCCTGAATTTCATTTTGCTCATCTGTTAAATCACAATAGTATTGTCTTGACTAGTAAACAACTTCCAGTCAAAATGGAGGTGTAGGTAGATACACTTCACCTCCTTGGGCAACCATACAAAGAATTACAACTAAACAAATAATACCCAGAACTGTCAGAAGATTGAACTGTATGGAAGTCCGACAACCAAGGATTTAAAGAAGCCACATTCTTCTAGATGGGTAGGAGGGGCAGAGACTCAGACACTGGACAGAGAGGTGAGGAGATACAATGTGGTGTGGAGAGGTAGTAGAATGGGCATGGGTAGTCCTGCATTCGTATGTAGTGAGTAAAAGTTGGGAGGGATACCTTGGGGGCGAGTGATTTCAGCCCCAGGCCAGACGGTACAGCCCAGGGTTCCAGTGCCAGGAAGGAAAATCTCTACAACTTCTGGCTGTAAAAATGAGTGGGGTTCTGGAGGGGGAAGAAACTGCTGGATTTTCATGAAACTCCACATAAAAGGCCTACACCCATCTTAAAACATTTGAAAACCCACGCACTCTGGGATTCAACACCGAGGCAGCAGCTGGAAAAGTGCCAGTCGAATACAGGGGGTGGGTGAAATGACTGGAAAAAGGACGAGTGCCAGGCTCATCTCCAGAAGCCAGGCAGTGGCACAGTCCCCTCTCCAAGCTCTCCTTCCATATAGAACCACAAAGCGGTAAAGTGGGTTGCCTAGCCTGGCTCTTCCACACACAATTTAGAGTCTTTTTTTTGACAGTAGGCCACGCTACTAAGACAGGGAGTCAAAGCAGTTCCACCTCATACACAGAAACAAACACAGGGAGGCTGCAAAATTGAGAAGATAAGAAATATGGCCCAAATGAAAGAACAGAACAAAACCCCAGAAAAAGTACTACATGAAATGGAGATAGCCAACCTATCAGGTGCAGAGTTCAAAACATTGGTGATCAGGATGCTCCAAGTACTCATTGAGTACAGCAACAACATAAAGAAATGAAGGTTACACTGAGTAAAATAAAGAAAAATCTATAGGGAACCAACAGTGAAGGGAAGGAAGCCAGGATTCAAATGAAAGATTTGGAACACAAGGATGAAATAAACATTCAGCCAGAATAGAAAGGAGTAACAAGAATTTAAAAAAGGAGGATAGTGTAAGAAGACTCTGGGACATCTCCAAACATGCCAACATCAAAATCACTGGGATGCAGAAGGAGAATAGTAAGAGCAAGAAATTGAAAACTTATTTGAAATAATATTGAAAGAAAACTTCCCTAATTTGGAAAAGGAAATAGATATAAAAGTCCAGGAAGCACAGAGTCCCAGAAAAGTTGGACCCAAAGAGGACGACACCAAGACACATCATAATTAAATTGCCAAATGTTAGAGAGACCATCTTAAAAGCAGCAAGAGATGCCCTGGCTGGTGTAGCTCAGTGGATTGAGCCCGGGCCTGCAAAGCAGAGGATTGCGGTTCGATTCCCAGTCAGGGCACATGCCTGTTGCAGGCCAGTTCCCGGCAGGGGACGCACAGGAGGCAACCATACATTGATATTTCTCTCTCTCTCTCTCTCTCTCTCTCCTTTCCTTCCCCTCTAAAGATAAATAAATAAATAAAAATCTTTAAAAAAAAAGCAGCAAGAGAAAAGCAGAGTTACCTACAAAGGAGTTCCTATAAGATTGTCAGCCGATTTGTCAAAAGAAACTTTGCAGGCAAGAAGTATTCAAAGCAGTGAAAAGCAAGGACTTATATCTAAGATTATTCTATCCAGCAAAGCTATCACTTAGAGTAGAAGGACAGATAATGTGCTTCCCAGACAAGATAAGGAGCACATCACCAACTGGCTATTATTATATGAGATGTTAAAGAGGGGGAAGAGGGAGAATGGAGGAAAAGGTACAGGGATTAAAAAGCATAATTGGTAGGTACAAAATAAGGGATGTTAAGAAGAGTATAGGAATTTGTGAAGCTTATGAACTTACATTCATGACCATGGACATGAATTAAGCTGGGGAGATTGTTGGAGGGAAGGGGGATACCAGATGGTGAGGAACAAAAGGAGAAAAATTGGGACAACTGTAATAACATAATGAATAAAATATACTAAAAAGAAAAAAGAATACCAGTAAAAAAAAGATGTTATCGACTTGTTATAAGAATTAAACTCAGGTACTTCTTAAATAATAAACACTAACAAATGTACTTTTTGTAAGTGTAAATTATTGAATATATGGTTAAGTATTCTGAAATTCAGATTTATTCATATAAGCCTTTGTACATAGTTATGTAAAATAGTAAGATAATAATTCATGAAAGTGTACAAAGGCAGTCTCTGTAAAACTTAAATAAGGTGGGTTTTAGGGGAAAGTATTGACTTTGCTTTCACATGGTAAGTGGGCATGGACACGGTCTGGACAGCATATACAAAGGCATGGAAATATAAAAGAGTATCATTGCTGAAGAACACTAAGGAGTTTTATGTACTTACAAATGGGTAGGTGTAATAGAATATAAGGCAAGAAAGACAGGCTTGGTCCAGACTGTATATAGCTTTTTGTGTTATGCTGAAAGATTTGTATTTTAACCTGGAAAGCATAAATAGGCAATTAAGATTTTTAGGTTGAGGTGTGACATGGAGACTTCTGGAGTTTTTGAAGGGCTAGAATGAATATTGACATTCTGAAATGGAAAGATTGAAATCTTTTCAAAAGTATTTTTTGGGGGTACAGAAGATTCATCATAATGGGTTAAAAAGCCACTACAAAGGCAGAGGTTGTTTAGCTTTATGCTATTTATATGAGACATACCTAAATCATAAGGACACATAAAAGTTAAAGCAGAGGGATGGAAAGATATATTTCAAGCAAATAGTCTCAAGTAGATATAGCTATATTAATATCACACAGAATAAATTTAAGTACAATAAGCATTACTAGAGTTAAAAATAACTCGTATAATACATATATGTTTAAGTAACAAGGGGGAAGCTATAAAATTCTAAACTCCCATGTATCTAATAATCTAATCACAATATATATAAAGAAAATGACAAAATTTAAGTAGAAAACAAATATTATACAGAGCATTAACATTTTCTAGGAATTATTGGAATAAACAAAAAAAAGTAAGAAGTTGAAGTGAATGATAATAATCTTGATTTAATGAATGTATATATATGTTCCAAATTAAAGAGACTAAAGAAACTTGATCACTAAAAACAGTGTGTGATTCTGGATCAGAAAAAAATTCTATAAAAACATTATCGGAGTAATTGATGAAATGTATATGAAATGTAATTAGGTAATAGTATATCAATTTTATTATTTATTTATGTTTTTAAATCCTCACCCAAGGATATGTTTTATTTTGGAGAGACAGGAAGGGAGACAGAGAGGGAGAGGATCGTGGATATGAGAAACACTGATTGGTTGCCTCTCATATGTGCCCCAGTTGGGGATTGACCCCGCAATCTAGGTATATTCACTGAACAGGAATCGAACTTGTAACCTTTAGGTGTATGGGACGATGCTCCAACAATTGAGCCTCACGGCCAAGGCAGTGTTATATCAGTTTTAGATTTCTTGAATTTGATAGTTGTGTTGTGGTTATATGAGGCAGTGTCCATGATCTGAGGAGATACATACTAGTGTTTTTTAAGGGTGAAGGTTAGTAATTATTCTGGAGTATAGTTCTGTGCAAAAAAAAAAAAAAAAACAAAACCCACCCAGTGAGAGAGACAAAGCAGTTGTGGCAAGCTGTGAAAAATTGGTGAATCTACATTCAGGGTGTAACAATTTGAACATTTTAGAACAAAAAGTTCAAAAAATGATGCTGGGAGGATTGATTTTAAAAATTAAATTAGATTCCTGCTTCATACTTTACCTGCACATTTAAAAGGATTCCAGATGGATTAAAAACCCAGTTGTGAAAAGTAAAACTTTCAGAGAAAATGTAGGGGGATTGTTTCCATTATGTTTCATGGTAGGGAAGAATGTATTTAAATGAAACTCGGACAGCATAAATATTATAGGAAAAGATTGCCAAATTTTAACTCCATTAAATTAAAAACTTTCTGTTCTGCAAAGCACATCATTTAAGAAGTGTAAAGGACAGGAGAGATACTTGGGGAAATATTTGCAGATAATCTAATTCACAAAGATTAGTATCCAGGATTGAGAAGGAACTCTAACAAATCAATAAGAGAAAAGAGGGAGCCCTGGCTGGTGTAACTTAGTGGATTGAGCACAGGCCTGCAAACCAAAAGATCACGGTTTGATTCCCAGTCAGGGCACATGCCTGGGTTGCAGGCCAGTTCCCAGCAGGGGCCAATTCCCAGCAGGGGATGCACCAGAAGCAACCATACATTGATATTTCTCTCCTTCTCTTCTTCCCTTCCCTTCTAAAGATAAATAAATAAATTTTTTAAAAAGTCTATAAACAAAGTCATTAGTTAAAAAAAAAGGGGGTGGGGAATCCAGTAATAAAAGATCAAAGGCACTAAGCAGATAAAGGACAGGAAACCCAGATGGCCAATAAAACTTAGAAAATTGCTCAGCCTTACTATCATCAAAACTGCAAATCAAAACTTCAGTGAGGTTGTAAAACTGTAATTATTTCACACTATTAGATTGGAAAAAGTTTTTAATTTGATAATTAGCTTAGTGATTATCAAATAATATCCTCATTTTACAGATGAGGAAACTGAATTAGAGAGAAGTCAAGATTACACAGACGGAGTAGAGTCGCGGGGCGCGCGGTGAGGTGGCCGCGTGGGGTTCGCAGCTGAGGAACGAGGTTCGGTCTGAGCGTCACAAGAGGACTTGGGGTGTGTGTGGGTGGCTGTCCCGGGAGCTTTTGGTCCCGTAAGGAGAAATCGGCTAGACGGGAAGTAGAGGGGTTGGCCGTGCTGCCTGAGAGTATCCGGCGGCCCCAGCCGCGTGGGAAGCAGAGTGCGTGGTGGTGGAAGTGGGTGAGGGGAATCATCATCCAGGAATCTCCTGAGGACCACAAGAAAACATGGGGAGGATTTTTCTCACTGGAGAAAAAGCCAATTCAGTACTAAAACGCTACCCAAGAGCAAATGGACTTTTCGAAGAAATAAGACAGGGCAACATTGAACGCGAATGCAAAGAAGAAGTCTGCACATTCGAAGAAGCAAGAGAAGCTTTTGAAAATAATGAAAAAACTATGGCGACGGAGTAAGATGGAGCTGATACTAGCTCCTGTACTCATGGGTGAAAATCCTGGCAGATCTACAGAGAAACAGCACAATAAACCATCGGTTACCCAGCATTTATGAAATTAAAAGACCAGAGATTGTGACCGACACTGAAACACCAGACGGCGGCAGAGTCAGCTACTGGGAGCCGGGGAGTCAGGTACGGAAGCCGGATACTCCAAGCCCCTGTGACGGTCCTGGGAGACAGAGGAGTCAGGAACCGGAGCGGGGACACCCTTGTGCCAATGCCATAGCTACGGGCCTGGGCAACGGAAGGGTCAGTTGCAGGAGCTGGGACACCAAAGGCCCCTGTGACGCCGCCAAAGAGACAGGCCTGGACCCTGAGGAGCCAGCTACGGGAGCCGGGACGTTCGCACACTGCCATAGCAACGGGACTGGACGCCGGGGAGTCAGGTACGGAAGCCGGGACTCTCCAAACCCCTGTGACGCAGCAGAGGAGCCAGCTACGGGAGCCGGGAAGTTCTCAGATCCTGTGCCGCTGCCATAGCGACGGGACTGGACGCCGGGGAGTCAGGTACGGAAGCCTGGACACTCCAAACCCCTGAGACAGCCCTGGGTGGCAGAGGATCCCTCTACGGGAACTGGGACTGTCTCAGCCCCTGTTCTGCTGCCATAGCGAAGGGACTGGACACTGGGGAATCAGGTACGGGAGTTGGGACTTTCTAAGCCTCTGTGCCACTGCCATAGAGACAGGACTAGACGCCGGGGAGTCAGGTACGGAAACCAGGACACTCCAAGCCCCTGTGACGGCCCTGGGCGGCAGAGAGAGCCAGATACGGGAACCGGGACATTCCCAGCCTCTATGCCACTGCCGTAGTAACGGGCCTGGGTGCTTGAGGAGGCGGCTACTAGAGCCGGGACATTCAGCAGTGGTAGGGGACCAACGCAGGGACCAGCGCGAGGACCAGCATGAGTGCAGGTGGAGACTAAGAACATCAAGAAACTTCAAGGAGTCTGCACCACAGAACTTCACAAGGATCATACCACAGAAGTTTACACCATAAAACCAGTGTTTCAGAACAGATCAATTTTGGAAGCAGAGACTAACTAGAAGAGTCTCAAACAATGGGAAGACAAAGAAACAATCCCCAAATGAAAGAAAAAGCAGAAACTTCAGAAAGAATGTTAGATGAAATAGACGCTGATCAACTATAAGACAGTGAATTCAAAGCACTGGTTATTACGAAGTTCAAAGAGCTCACAGTGAACTACCAGAAACTACAGGGGAACTATAATGATCTCTCTGCAAACTACAGCAACATCAAAAAGGAAATGGAAACTATCAGCAAGAGACAAGAGGAAATGAAGAATACAATTTCCGAATTGAAGTACACAGTAGAAAGTTTCCAAAGTAGGATAGATGAAGCAGAGGATAGGATTAGTGAGTTGGAGGACAAGGTAGAAAGCATCTCACAGAAAGAGCAAGAAAATGAAAAGAGGCTCAGAAAGAATGAAGAGGGATTAAGAGAAATGCAAGACAATAGGAAACGTAATAATATCCGAATAATAGGAATACCAGAAGGAGAAGAAGAAGAACAAGGGATAGAAAACGTATTTGAACGAGTAATGAGAGAAAATTTTCCTAATTTGACAAAAGAAAAAGTCACACAAATCCAGGAATCACAGAGAGTCCCAACCAAGAGGAACCCAAGGAGGCCCACTTCAAGACACATCATCATCAAAATGGCAAAATTCCAAGACAAAGAGAGAATCTTAAAGGCAGCAAGGGAGAAAAAAGAAATAACATACAAGGGAGCCCCAATAAGGTTAGCTACCGACTTCTCAATGGAAACACTTCAAGCAAGAAGAGAATGGCAAGAAATATTTCAAGTAATGAGAACCAGAGGCCTACAACCAAGGCTACTTTACCCAGCAAGGCTCTCAATCAAGATAGATGGCCAAATAAAGAGCTTCCAAGACAAAAGAAGTCTAAAAGAATATGCCTCCACCAAACCAGCTCTACAAGAAATACTAAAAGGACTGCTTTAAGGGAAGGAAGGATAAGAGGGAGACAGAGAGGAACACAGGTACAAAAATGGCAATGAATAAGTACCTATCAATAATAACCTTAAATGTAAATGGATTAAATGCTCCAATCAAAAGACACAGAATAGCTGCATGGATAAGAAAGTATGACCCACACATATGCTGCCTACAAGAGACTCACCTCAGGACAAAAGACCATCACAGACTAAAAGTGAAAGGCTGGAAACAAGTTTTCCAAGCAAACGGACAAGAAAAAAAAGCTGGGGTAGCAATTCTCATATCAGACAAAATAGACTTCAAAAAAAAGGCTATAAAGAGAGACCCAGAAGGTCATTTCATTATACTCAAGGGAAGAATCCACCAAGAAGACATTAACATTGTAAACATATATGCACCAAACATAGGGGCACCCAAATATATCAAGAAAATCTTAGAGGACTTCAAGAAAGATATTGACAGCAACACAATCATAGTAGGGGATTTGAACACCCCACTATCAAAAATGGACAGATCTTCCAAACAAATTATCAACAAAGATATTGTGGCATTAAACAACACCCTAGATGAAATGGACTTAACTGATATATATAGAGCCCTTCATCCCAAAGAAGCTAAATACACATTCTTTTCAAATGCACATGGAACATTTTCAAAGATAGACCACATGATAGGACACAAAACGAGCCTCAAAAAATTCAAGAAAATTGAAATCATACCAAGCATCTTCTCTGACCACAAGGGACTGAAATTAGAAACCGACCCCAAAGAAAAAAACCCAAAGCACCCAAAAACATGGAGACTGAATGGTATGCTATTAAACAACGAATGGGTCAAGAATGGAATTAGGGAAGAAATCAAAAAGTTTTTGGAAACAAATGAAAATGATCTCACAACAACCCAAAACTTATGGGACACAGCGAAGGCAGTCCTGAGAGGGAAGTTTATAGCAATACAGGCCTACCTAAAGAAAATAGAAACATTTCAAACAAACAACCTAACCCTATGCCTGCAAGAACTCAAGGAACAACAACAAAGACAGCCCAGAGCAAGCAGAAGGAAGGAAATAACCAAGATTAGAGCAGAATTAAATGATATAGAAACTAAAAGCACAATTTTACGGATCAATGAATCCAGGAGTTGGTTCTTTGAGAAGATAAACAAAATAGACAAGCCTTTAAGTAGGCTCATCAAGAAAAGAAGAGAGGACACAAATAAACGCAATCAGAAATGAAAAAGGAGAGATTACAACTGATACCACAGAAATACAAGAGATTGTAAGAAATTACTATGAAGAACTGTATGCCAAGAAATTTGAAAACCTAGGGGAAATGGACACATTTCTAGAAAAATACAATCTTCCAAAACTCAGTGAAAAAGAAGCAGAAAATCTAAATACACCAATAACAGCAAAAGAAATTGAAGCAGTAATCAAAAAACTCCCATCACACAAAAGCCCTGGACCAGATGGTTTCACAGGAGAATTCTATAAAGCATTTAAGGAAAAGCTAACCCCTATTCTCCACAGACTATTTCAAAAAATCCAGAAGGATGGAAAACTCCCAAATTCTTTTTATGAAGCCAGCATCATCTTAATTCCAAAACCAGATAGAGACACAACAAAGAAAGAAAATTTCAGGCCAATATCGCTGATGAACATAGATGCTAAAATCCTCAACAAAATATTGGCAAATCGCATCCAACAATATATCAAAAAGATCATACACCATGATCAAGTAGGATTCATCCCAGGGATGCAAGGATGGTTCAATATTCGCAAATCAGTAAATGTAATACATCACATAAACAAAAGCAAAGACAAAAATCACATGATCATATCAATAGATGCGGAAAAAGCTTTCGATAAGGTACAACACCCATTTATGATAAAAACACTCAGCAAAGTGGGAATACAGGGAGCATTTCTCAAAATAATAAAGGCCATATATGAGAGACCTACAGCCAATATCATACTCAGTGGGAAAAAACTAAAAGCTTTTCCACTAAGATCAGGAACAAGACAAGGTTGTCCACTTTCACCACTTCTATTCAATATAGTATTGGCAGTTTTAGCCACAGCGATCAGGCAAGAAAAGGAAATAAAAGGCATCCAAATAGGAAAGGAGGAAGCAAAACTGTCACTGTTTGCAGATGACATGATAGTGTACATGGAAAATCCTATAGACTCTACCCCAAAACTGCTCAAACTAATTAATAAGTTTGGCAAAACAGCTGGTTACAAAGTCAATATCCAGAAATCAAAGGCATTTTTGTATACCAAGAGTGAATCAGCAGAAGCAGAAATAAAGAGAAAAATCCCATTTGATATGGCAAAAAGAAAAATAAAATATCTGGGAATAAACCTAACTAAGGAGGTAAAAAACCTGTATGCAGAAAACTACACAGCCCTGAAGAACGAAATCAAGGAAGACACAAACAAATGGAAACATATACCTTGTTCATGGATTGGAAGAATTAACATCATCAAAATGTCCATACTACCCAAAGCAATATACAGATTCAATGCAATACCTATTAAAGTACCAATGGCATATTTCACAGACATAGAACAAACACTTCGAAAATTTGTATGGAACCATAAACGAGCCCGAATAGCAGCTGCTCTTTTGAGAAAAGAACAAAGTAGGGGGGATCACAATACCTGATATCAAACTGTATTACAAGGCCACAGTAATCAAAACAGCCTGGTACTGGCATAAAAACAGGCACATAGACCAATGGAACAGAACAGAGAGCCCAGAAATCAACCCAACTCTCTACAGTCAATTAATATTCGACAAAGGGGGCCAGTAACATAAAATGGAGTAAAGATAGCCTCTTCAACAAATGGTGTTGGGAGAACTGGACAGCTACATGCAAAAAAAATGAAACTTGAGCACAGACTTACACCATACACCAAAATAAATTCAAGGTGGATAAAAGACTTAAATGTAAGTCATAACACCATTAAAGTCCTAGAGGAGAACATTGGCAAGAAAATCTCAGATATTTCACGCAGCAACTTCTTTACTGATATGTCCCCTAGAGTAAGGAATGTAAAGGAAAGAATAAACAAATGGGATCTCATCAAAATAAAAAGCTTCTGCATGGCTAAAGAAAATAGTATTAAATTAGCAAGACAACCAACTGTATGGGAAAACATATTTGCCAATGATACCTCAGACAAAGGTTTAATCTCTAAAATATACAAAGAACTTACACGACTCCACTCTAAGAAGACACCCAACCCAATTAGAAAATGGGAAAAGGACTTGAGCAAACACTTCTCCAAGGAGGACATACAGAACATTCAGAGACACATGAAGAGATGCTCAATATCATTAGCTATCAGAGAGATGCAAATTAAAACCACAATGAGATACCACTTTACACCAGTCAGGATGGCTATCATAAACAAAGCAACAAACAACAAATGTTGGAGGGGTTGTGGGGAAAAGGGGTCCTTAGTTCACTGTTGGTGGGAGTGCAGACTGGTACAACCATTATGGAAAACAGTATGGAATTTTCTCAGAAAAATAAAAATGGACCTGCCTTTTGACCCAGCAATTGCACTGCTGGGATTATATCCTAAGAATCCTAAAACACCAATATCAGAGAACCTATGCACCACAATGTTCATAGCAGCACAATTTACAATAGCCAAGAGTTGGAAGCAACCTAGGTGCCCATCAGTAAATGAATGGATCCAAAAATTGTGGTACATATACACAATGGAATTCTATGCAGCAGAGAGAAAGAAGGAGCTACTACCCTTTGCAACAACATGGATGGAACTGGAAAGCATTATGCTGAGTGAAATAAGCCAGGGGTTGAAAGACAAATACCATATGATCTCACCTTTAACAGGAAGCTAAACAACAAAACAAACAAACAAGCAGAAAAAAAAACAAACAAAAAACAAAGACACTGAAATAGAGAACAAGGGATAGTGACCAGAGGGGAGAAGGAAGGGAAGTTAAGGGGAAAATGGGGGAGGGATTTGGTGGAACAAATAGGAAGGACACAGGGACGAGAACTAAGGGGGGTGGAAATGGGAGGGAGGTGGGGAGCAAGGGGCGGGGGAGGCTGGGATGGGAAAAATAGACAAAAAAGTGTACTTGAAAAATAACTAAATAAAATTTTAAAAAATAATAAATAAAATAAAATACATTAAAAAAAAAGATTACACAGAAATGATAGAGATGGAATTTAAATTCAGACACTGTGCCTGTAGGGTCCATTGGATTGAGTCCCATGCCAGAGTCAGAAGTGCAAAATATTACGTAAAGAGATTTTGGAAATAGGTTACAATTACTGTAACTTGTAAAATTTTGGACAAGTTACTTAATTTCCTAGGACCTTATTTTTGGCATTTATCTTTATTATGGATTGTTGGGAGGCTTAAATGAATTATTATTTTATTATTCTAGTTCTCTAAGCATAGGTGAGGGCATGGTGTAACAGAAACTCTCAAACATTTCTGGTTGGGAGTGTAATTAGTGTAGCTGCTCTACTAATTTTTTAAAAGAGATTTAATAAAGTTGAAGGTGTACGTACATAGTTCCTTCAATTTTGAAATACCTTGTGGAAAATATCTAACAATTCAGCTCCTACTTATTTATCTTAAACTCTCAGACATATTGTCAGGAAGGTGTGCACTGTGATGTTTACTGCATTGTTTGTATTATTGGAAAAACCTCAGTGTCTGTCAACTGATAAATGGATAAATAAATTATATTTTAATACCATCAAATATTATATAATAGATCTTTAAAAAAGAAATATAATCACATAGGTAAACATAGGTAGGTCTTGAATAATATGGAGCAAAAGCAGTCTGCAGGAGGATACAGTGTAATGCTACTTACAGAAAATATAAAAACATGAAAAACTGATATTTTATTAAATGAATGATTACACAGATTTTTAAGGTACAGTATTATTTTAGTAATCACTAAGAAAAAATATCACCATGAAACTGAGATACTATGAATCGTAAAATACATATCAATTTTAGAGATATTAAAAATGCGAACGCCATCTGCCTCTTAGAATAGATTAATTATGAGGTACTATTTGTGGGTTTGGGTTAACATAAGAATATACAACATGTTTGGTAATTTTTTAAAAAGTGGTACTACTAGGGTTACCTTAGTGGAAGAAATCAGGGGAATGGGATTTAGAAAAGATTCACAGGAACCTTAACTCTGTAATGTGTCTAATGTTTTATTTGCTTAAATAAAAAGTCTACATGAAGCAAAAACAGCAGGGTTAAGATTCATTAAAATTGGGTTTAAAGTATCCAACTTTATATCCATTCTGTTCTGTGTGGTTGAAATATGTTATGACTTTTTTTTTAATTGGTGCTAAAGAGGAATAGATAAGTATAAAGTGGATAAGTTTGGCTAGAAGGGAAGGATTACAGAGGAAAGCACAATATCTATGGGAGTTTTGTTTCTTTGAGTGAGAAACACAAGTATTCTTTGCTCTCTGAATTCTAGCTTTGCAAATTAAGGAATAGGATATGTTCTCTTAGATTTTCGGATAAAGCCCTTATCATTTAAACTCTTTCTATTTTTTATCTGAAACTTTGGAACCAAATAGACATCTCCAATATGCACAGCTGCTATCCAAATTTAAGAACCACATATTCAGGAAGTAAGGGTTACTTTCACTTGCCTTTGTAAGCCAGTAGAGAAAATATACAGAAGATACAAATAGAGTAAGTTCCTAAAAGGAAAGAGCTAAGATCCAGAGTATAGATAAAGGAATTCACCTTGGGTGAGAGAAGAGTCACTAAACTTCCCTTATACTGGGAAGGATTTGATGAAAATGGGTTTAGATATAGAAAAGTTTTAGATGTGGATATGAAATTGACCAAGTTCCAGCCCAGTAGTCTCCATTCAGTGTGAAAAGTGTTATATGATGAAAGGTCAGGGTCAGCTAAAAGGTGAGACAGCATGGTTGGGCTTAAGACAGTGCTTGGTAGTGGTTGGATTTTGTTGTTCAGATTTTTATATCTTGTATTAGTAGCAGTTACTGTCTTTTAGAATACCATTTCGAACATTTACCTGACCTTTATAAAGGTCACAGGATTTACCGAGTATTTTTAATATATAAGGCTACTACCCTTATCTATCTTTTCAGGGCTGAGGAAAAAATATTGCATAATATTGCATAAAACACATAAGACTGTATGTATGTTTTAAAGTTTATATATATTTTGTTATGTTTTATATTTTATACTGACATAGCAACGAAATTATTATAGTCTAATCTTTATTCTTTATTTTGTGATTTAAGTCTGGTATTTTTTTTTTTAGTACAGAGAAATATGCTTCTTTCTGATTAGTCCCTAAAATTAAATATAAGTTACTTTGGAACTTAACTATTCAAACCCAGATCATTCTTTGTTTTTATTAGTTATTCATTTTCAAATTTTAGAGCTGAGCGGCAAAGGAATGAAGCACTGTATAATGCTGAAGAGCTGAGTAAAGCTTTCCAACATTATAAAGAAAATGTGGCTGAAAAGCTGGAAAAGGTAAGGGGCAGTTGTACAAATTCAGTGTTCTGTATTACTGTCCATATTCTAAAAATATAGACTTAAATAGAATATATTTATGATTAAAGCAGGGAGTAATTTTTATGATCTCATTCATAATAAAATCATTGGAATAAAGAATTTCTAAATATTAATTAAGGATGATATTCATAGTCTTTTTTAATAAGCAGAAACATTTTTATCCAAAGAGAGGAAAGAGTGGAAGCAAGAAAAGGAACAAAATACAGAGAAAGATGGGGTGAGTGAGCAGAAGTTGGAGCTATAGAAATAGAAGCAGGAAATTTGTTCCCATCGCCTTAGTGAAAATGAAGGCAGAGTAGGTTATGTAGCCTTCAGTTGATCTCCCTAGACCTACCACCCTGAGAGGGGCTCACTTCTGCTTCTGAAAGTGAAGGTTCCTGATCAGATTTTTCATAGTAATATAGCGGCTCTATTACATTTGTTTACTATCTTCAAGTAATACCACATGGGAATAAAACCCGTTTGGAGGAAGGCCACATATTGTATATTCATGAGCTCAGAAGAGTAGTCTGGTGAACAGATACCAACATGAGAGACTTCCATCTTAAGATAATAATTGAAACAGACGAAGTTAATGATTCTGATTAGAGAAAGGTAGAATGGTAAAAGAAAAATATTATTATTAAAATTTAAGAAATCAAGGTTCTATTTGATTGCAGAATCTTTAGTGTGAATTACTATTACTGTTTTTTAAAAAAAATTTTATTTATTTTTAGAGAGAGGGAACAGGAAGGAGAAAATGGGAGAGAAACATCAGTACTGGGGACCTGGCCCGCAACCCAGGCATGGGAATTGAACTGGTGACCCCTTGCTTCACAGGCCCACACTCAATCCAATGAGCTACACCAGCCAGGGCTATTATACTGTTTTGAAAGCTGTGGAGAAGTTCCCTGTGGGAATGAAATATTGTAGAAGGGATTTTTAATAAGATAATCTGTAGGGGGGGAGAATAACTTATGGGGGGTATCCTTGAGGAGAGGGAGAACTTTATAGAGGAAGGAGAGGGATGAGTTTTATCCCTCTCCTTAGGATTATCATCCCTATAAGAGATGAGTTTTATCATACCTCTCCTTAGGATTATCAATTTTATACTGTTCAGCAGAGCCTATTAGTTAGGTAGAGGTAACGAAGTGAGGCAGATCTGCCCAGGCCTCTACTCCCACCGTTCTGTCCTGGGTGCTTGGCTTTTGTTTTAAATTTTGGACTGTGATTTCACTGGCAGCATTTTGTGGCTAAAATGTCAAAAATTACTTCTCTGGAACATTTGCACAAGTTAGCTTTCAGTAACTTCATACAGAGTCCCTGCATGAGTTGCTTACCTTGTCCATGTGAGGTCAGGACCCCATTTGCTAGTGCTGCTGTGTCACAGGCTCTTAAGCATTTCTGAATAGGTAGTAGAATCCCACTCTTTGTCCAGGAAGTTCACTTTGCTCCCTTTACTTTAAGGTTGGGACTTAAATGGGTGGAGTACCTATCTCACTCTTCTTCTGATTTCTAAAATCACTTCTTTTTAGTTTGAAAAACCTAAAACCTATGACAGTATAAGTATGCCCACTTAAATTATTGTTTTAGGTTCAAGCTGAAGAAGAAATATTAGAAAAAAATCTAATTGACTGTGAAAAAGAAAATAAAAGGCTACAGGAAAAGTGTGGTCTGTATAAAAGTGACCTTGAAATTCTGAAAGAGAAATTAAGGTACAGTATCCTATTGTAGAAAAAGGATTTTTGGGTGGAAACAAAGAAAAAAACTGAAACATTTCCTAACGGAGTGTTTTGTAGATTGTAATTATGGCCTTAAATTATGTAGAAAGGTAGGCTTCATAACAATTTTTCTGGGTATAATAAAGTTAGGATTTTAAATGAGTGAAGTGTATGTTGATATTAATATCTTTGTAAATGTAATGTAATCAACATTTTGGTTTGCATTTGTTAGGGGAAAATTAACACCAACATAATGTTCGTATAGTGTGACCACATTAGCTAGTTAGTAAAATATGTGTTCTTTCAATCGTGAAGAATCACCTAGTTCAACCTTCTCACATTCAGACCTTAAAAATGTGAGAAAGGGAACTGATGAAATACAAATAATAGTTCTAAAGATTGGATTGTTCTAATATATTTGAAAATATTAATGCCTAGTAATCTGCTAATGGCTGATTAGACTTTATCTTTTAGAGTTGTGTCTGGTACTTCATAATTTTTCCTTATATGATCAAAAACCTTCTTGATGTTGCAAAATGTTGTGTCAGGATTTTTTAGTTAGATCTCCTGTTTTAGAAAAGGAACAGAAATGCTTCCAAGATAGTGGGGTTATCCTGCCCTACTACTTATTGTGAAATACTGGGCAAGTTTCATAAGTTTTCTGTGTCTCAATTTTTTCATCTATAAAGAGGGAGTTGCTAGCTACCTAAAGTTGTGTGTGCCTGGCACGCAGAAAGCAGGTGCATGGCAAGTATGAGCAGGTATTATTATTTCAGAATTAAACTTTAAAATATTTTATAACTGAGATTAACTAAATATGATTATTGCAAATGAGTATATACTTTCACTTTTGTGCTTTTTTTTCTTCATAGGCAGTTAAAAGAAGAAAATAACAATGGAAAAGAAAAATTAAGAGTCATGGCGGTGAAAAATTCAGAAGTCATGGCACAACTAACTGAATCTAGACAAATTATTTTGAAGCTAGAGAGTGATGTAGAGGACAAGGACAAAATACTTCGAGAAAAATTTTCTCTAATGAATGAAAACCGAGAATTAAAGGTTCGTGTTGCAACACAGAATGAGCGACTGGATGTATGTCAGCAAGAAATAGAAAGTTCAAGGGTGGAACTGAGACGTTTGGATAAAATTATGTCCCAGTTACCAGTAAGTATGTGTGAAAAGGAAAATGTTACTGACATGCTTTATAAGAGACCATTGTTTTTTGGTTGTTTTATTAGGTTAAGTTTTTTTCTTCTATCTGTACTTTCAGTCATCAGTTTCTTTTCTAATTTTATCTAATCCCTCTGCTTTCTTTTTGTGCTCAACTTTCTGGTGTTTCAACCTTTCTCAGTCTCTCAGATGTTATATATAAGAATGACACACAATTAAAAAAGAACAGTCTTATTGAAGTAACTTATCTATGTACCACAAAATTTACCCATTTTAAGTGTACTGTTCAGTGATTTTTAGTACATTTACAAGTTTTAGAACAGTGACCACAATCCGGTTATCAAACATTTGTTTCATCCCCAGAAGGTCCCTTGTGTCCATTTATAATTAAGTTTCTGTACCCACCTTCGCTGTGAGGGAACCATGAATCTACTTTTTGCATCTAGAGATTTATCTTTATTTGACATTTCACATAAATTAAATTCTACAGTATATGCTATTTTGCATCTTGTCTTTCACATTCTTAATGCTTTTGAGTATTGTTCTTTGTGACATATATCAATATTTCATTTCTTTTATTATTGGCTTTTTCATTGTGTAGATATACCACATTTTATTTATTCACTAATAGATGGACATTTGAATTGTTTCTACTTTTGGACTATTATGAATAACACTGCAATGAACATTTGCATATAAGTCTTTATGTGGATATATTTTCATTTCTCTTGAGTTGAAATAGACTTGCTGGGTCATATGGTAATTTTGTGCCTAAATGTTTTTCAGTGTGGCTGCCCAATTTTACATCCTTACCAACAACATGAGGGGTCCTATTTCTCCACAGTGTTGCCAACATTTGTTATTCTTTGTCTTTTTGATTCTGTTCATCTTGGTGTATATGAAGTGGTATCACATTGTGGTTTTAATTTGTATTTTCCTAATTAATAATAATGTTGAGCGACTTTTCACATACTTACTTATGGTGAAGAACATTAAAATGTTTTTAGGTATAGCCAACCACTTTTTCTCTTTGAGTTATATATGTATATGATCATATTTATAAGTGAGATTAGGAAGGAGGTAATTACACCTGCATCAGAAATTTGTTTCTGGCCCTGGCTGGGGTAGCTCAGTGGATTGAGCACGGGCCTGCAAACCAAAAAATTGCGGTTCAATTCCCAGTCAGGCCACATGCCTGGGTTGCAGGCCCGTTCCCAGCAGGGATGCACAAGAGGCAACCATACATTGATATTTCTCTCCCTCTCTCCTTCCCTTCCCCTCTAAAGATAAATAAATAAAATCTTAAAAAAAAGAAAATTGTTTCTGATAGGTGTAAAATAAAGGTGAGATCAGGAGAAAGCTACAGATAAATGTGTTGTGGTTTGTTTTACATATGTATGGATTACCAATTTTAAACTGTCATGGGATTATGAATCTGAGAGGGACCATAGAAATCATTTGACTCAATACCATCGTTTTATTGGTGAAGAAATGTAGACTCAAGGGAGTGAATAACTTGTAGCAGAATTAAACTGGTGATTCTTGGTTCCAGCCCTCTGCTATATCTACTTTCCTAGGATGCTGATTATTGATTATTTGCTTATATTTTTAATGCACAGATTTGCTTTTGAATTTGATTGTAATCATATGCAGATAGCATTCATTTTAAATTGATGTTTTCATTTTACTCAGTATCAAGAATTACTTGATATGTGATTCTGAGGGTGGTGTGGTCATATATGCTTGATCCTGTGTTTCATGCAGTGCTAAGAATAACATGGTTTGGAAATGTGAGCTTTTTTCATTTCTAGAAAGTGTGCTTTGGTTATACTTTGAAGGTAGTGGTCATTAGTGCTTCCTTGCCTTTTTTTACAACTAATTTAAAAATTCTGTATTATTCAAGCACAGAGACCAATGTAGCATAGAATTTGCTAAATCTGGATAACATTTTGTGATATCTACTTCAGAATATTTTAGAATAAAATTTTACAGGTAAGTGAAGCCTCTTTATGTACCTATCAGATCCAATTTTCTCCCTCTCTCTTCAGAGGTAGTGACTCTTCTGAAATTATCAATAATTAATGGACTTCTTGTCCATATTCGAAATATTGCCAATACATATACATTTAGAAAATGTATATATAGTTTAGTGCATTTTTAAAACTGATACTTGTGCCATTGTTATTTTTCGCTCAGTTTTATGTTGTGTTGTCTCCATGATGATTTAAGTAATGCAGGTTTATTTAACTATTGTAGTTTTTCAATTATCTTACTATTTCATAATATATTTATACAGTCTCTTATTGATGGACATTTAGGTTGTTTGTATTAAATTCACACAATTTTTCAAACTTGGAGTTCTAAATAAAAAATTGCATCCTAGATATTACAAATTTATATGTTTGTTTTTAAACTTACAGTTAAAAAGAGAAATGTTTGGTTTTAAATCATCTCTTTCTAAGCACCAGATGAGTAGTTTGCCAAACAAGGAAGACAATTACATTGGCTGTTGTGAGGCAAATAAAATGATGATTTCGGAATTAAGGTATGATTTTCAGGTTCTAAAGTTGTAGCGAATACAATGTTTTAAAATTTGGTAATTAAAGTAAGATCTTTAATTAAATATTAAAAATATACAAAAAATCTAGAGAGTATTTTAACAAATATCTGTGTTTTCACAACTAAGAATCGATTCTTAATGTTTTGTGATATTTGTTTCAAATTTATTTCTTTAAATAAAAGGTAAAACATTACAGAATAGATGATGCATGTTGATTCTTACCACTAGTCCTATTCTTCTTATTAGTGTCCACCACCATGAACTGGATACATATTCTTCAGTTCATTTTGCATATGTTTGTACTCACAAAAATATCCTGTATGTTTATATTGTTTGTAAGTTTGTTTTTTCACTCAGCATCACTTTAAAATTCATGTTAAAGTAAGTAGAGTGATTGATTAATGTATGGATTAGTGTGGTTAGTTTAGTTTTTATAGATGTGTAAGGGTATATCCTATAACTTTGTCACAATTTATTTGTTTCTTTATTGTTAGTTTAATTTTCATAACTGTGTAAGAGTCTATCCTATAACTATGTCACAGTTTATCTATTCCCTTATTGATTTTTACCATGTTTCTCTTTTCCATTTGTTACAAACAGTGCTGTAAAAAACGTATTTATACATGTTAACTACAATATGGACAAGTTTCTCTAGTGTATATTCCTAAAAGTCAAAATCTGGGTAATGGGGTGTGCACATTTTTAATTTTACTAGGTTATTACCAAATTTTTTAAGTAGCTGAACCAGTGTACAATCCAATCAGTGACATAAAATGGTTTGCATATCCTGCTCAATAGTTGAGTTTAAAATTTTTTACCACTTTATAATTTTTTACTTCTTTTCTCTGTGCTAGGATTAAGCTTGCAATAAAAGAGGCGGAAATTCAAAAGCTTCAGGCAAATCTGACTGCGAATCAGTTATCTCAGAGTCTTATTTCTCATAATGACAACAAAGAAAGTGGCAAATTAAACAGTTTAGAAACAGAACCTGTAAAACTAAAAGGTAGTCAAGTAGGTGAGTATATTTTCTTGAATTTTTAAAATAAATTATGATGAGAGTTCTTTATTTAATTTAATTTAATTTTATTTTTTAAAGATTTTATTTATTTATCTTTAGAGGGGAAAGGAAGGAGAGAGGGAGAGAAATATCATTATATGGTTGCCTCTTGTGCGTCCTCTGCTGGGAATTGGCCTGCAACCCAGGCATGTGCCCTGACTGAGAATCGGACCACGATCCTCTGGTTCACAGGCCCGTGCTCAATCCACTGAACTACGCCAGCCAGGGCGATTTTTTTTTTAATTTTTAAAATTTTTTATTTTACCCTGCCTCTGATGAGAGTTCTTTAAAATAATTTAAAAAAAAAAATAAACGAATGACCAGCTACTTGGTTTCTGTTATCAACCACGTTAATTACAAGTTATGGGTTGATGAGTCAGTGAAAATTATTTCAAAATTCTTTTTTAAAAAATATATTTTATTGATTATGCCATTACAGTTGTCCCATTCCCCCCCTTTATTCCCCTCTACCCTGTACATCCCTCCCTCCTATTCCCCCCCTTTAGTTTATGTCCATGTGTCACAAGTTCTTTAGATTATAAATTTCCCATACTATTCTTGCCCTCCCCCCTGTCTATTTTCTACCTACTGTCTATGCTACTTATTCTCTGTACCTTCTCCCCCCTTTTCCTCCTCCCATTCCCCTGTTGCTAACCCTCCATGTGATCTCCACTTCTGTGGCTCCGTTCCTGATCTAACTGTCCTCTTAGTTTGCTTTTGTTTTAGGTGTGGTTGTTAATAACTGAGTTTGCTGTCCTTTCACTGTTCATATTTTTTTAACTTCTTTTTCTTAGATAAGTCCCTTTAACATTTCATATAATAAGGGCTTGGTGATGATGAACTCCTTCAATTTGACCTTATCTGAGAAGCATTTGATCTGCCCTTCCATTCTAAATGATAGCTTTGCTGGATAGAGCAATCTTGGATGTAGGTCTTTGGATTTCATGAGTTGGAATACTTCTTTCCAGCCCCTTCTTGCCTGTAAGGTCTCTTTTGAGAAATCCGCTGACACTCTGACAGGAACTCCTTTGTAGGTGACTGTCCCCTTATCTCTTGCTGCTTCTAGGATTCTCTCCTTCATTTGAATCTTGGCTAATGTAATGATGATGTGCCTTGGTGTGTTCCTTCTTGGGTCCATCTTCTTTGGGACTCTCTGAGCTTCCTGGATTTCCTGGAAGTCTATTTCCTTTGCCATGGGGAAGTTCTCCTTTATTATTTGTTCAAATAAGTTTTCCACTCGTGGCTGTTCTTCTTCCCCTTCTGGAACCCCTATAATTCGGATGTTGGAGCATTTAAAGGTGTCCTGGAGGTTCCTAAGCCTCTCCTCATTTTTTTGAATTCTTGTTTCTTCATTCTTTTCCGTTTGGTCATTTTTGTTTCCTTCTGGTCCACTCCATTGATTTGAGTCTCCGTTTTCTTCCCATCACTATTGGTTCCCTGTGCATTTCTCATTCACTTAATTTAGCCTTCATTTGTTCCTCTGATTTGTGACTAAAGCAATCAGTTCTGTGGGCATCCTGATCACCAGTGTTTTGAACCGTGCATCCAATAGGTTGGCTATCTCTTGGTTGCTTAGAAGTGTTGACTCTGGGGCTTTGAGCTGTTCTCCTTCTTGAGCCATAAGGTTTTGGTGTGTTTGCGCCTGTTACGTGTGATGGGCAGAGCCTTAGGTGTTCACCAGGGCAGGGTAACCCAGGTTGCTGGGTTGTGACGCTGTGTGTGGGGGTGGGGTCAGAGAGGGGCAATGGCATTTGTTCTGCTCTCTCTCGGATCTCGGTCCCCTCCACTGCTTCCTGTAAGCAAATTGGGCCCTTATGGTGCTGGTGCCCAGGTGTGTGGGCTTGTGTACCCTCCAGGACCCTGTGGGTCTCTCCAATGAACTGTTAGCCTGGGAGCCTCTCCCGGCACCTCAACCCCAAAAGTTTTTCCAATTGGTGCTTTTAGGCTTTAATTCCCATCGTTGGGGCCCTGGTTTGCGCGGTCTGTCTCACTGCTTGCTCCTTTGCCTGCTTTATCTGCGTGTGAATGTGTGACCATGGTCAGCCAACCGCCTTGAGCCCTCACTATGTCCACCCATTGCCATCCCACGCCTGGCATCTGCCAACCGCTGCCTGCGCACCTGGGTCGGTACAGCCACTTTTTCCTGCTGTGATCCCTCTCTGCCAGCCACTGACTCTGCCCCTCTTACTGGTCTGGCTGAATGGTTAGTTGTTAGACTTCTGTACAGTTTAAATTTCTGTCAGTTTTTGTTACTAAATCTTTGTTGTCTTTAAACTTGGTTGTACGAGGAGGCACAGTGTTTCCACCTACTCTTCCATCTTGGCCGAAGTCCAAAATAGGGGATTTTTAAAGGTGGAGAAGGGCTCTTTCTGTTACAAAGGAATAGTTTTTCTAGTTTGAAGGAATAGCCTAGAAAAATGAGTGGTTCAGAAGGACTTATTCCCACTTTATATATTCAATTTAGAAAGGACCTTACTTTCCATGTTCCTTCATTGTACTTACCTTAATATATGTCTCATTCTCTATTCCCTTTACTGTTCTTTAAATCAGAAACTAAACTTAATGATGAAATCTTTTAACATTGTAATAGGATTTTTTCTTGAAGTTTATATAAAACAGTTTTATTTTTACCAGCAGAAAGTATAAAAGAGCAAAATCATTCTACTGTTAACAAGCAATATGAAAAAGAAAGGGAAAAACTTGCTTCTGGAGTAGAAGAACTACGTACTAAGTTGATGCAAATAGAAGCTGAGAATTCTGATTTGAAAGTTAACATGGCCCACAGAACTAGTCAGTTTCAGCTGATTCAAGAAGAACTGCTAGAGAAAGCTGCAAACTCTAGCAAACTTGAAAGTGAAGTAAGCTTGAATTACCTGTGTATATGTACTAAATTTTCGCACAACACAAAGGATGTAGGGTTTTATTAAAAATGGTATGTTTAAGCCCGGTTTTACACATTAAAAAAATTTCTTTTAAGATTTTTTTAGGGGAGAAGGGAGGGAGAGAGGGAGAGAAACATCAATCAGTTGCCTCTAGTAGGCACCCGACCGGTGACCAAACCCACAATCTAGGCATGTGCCCTCACCTGGAATCAAACCCCTGACCTTTGGTCCGCAGAACAAAGCCCAACCAACTGAGCCACACTGGTTAGGGTAGTTATAAATTTTTTAAAATTTATATTTGGAAACCTTTGCATTTTAACCTATATTATAAGTAGGGAAATACACTGTAGGGTGCTAAAAGATCTAAATTTAGTGGGACTTAAACTGTGCTGTTCTTCATTATTTCTTCAAATTTAATATAGATAATATACATATACGAGTAAAATTATTTGTATTATGCAATTGGAAAAAAGCAGTGGTAATAGTATATTTCAAATTTTAGCAAACAGCAGGTCCACCTGAGAAGCCTGTTAAACATGCACATTTCAGGATTCTACCCTAGTGATTTTGATTCAGCAGATAACAAATAATGCTCAGGAATCTGCATTTTTAAACACTGCATATGAATCTAGTGCAGGTATGCTGTGGATTACATTCTGAAAAGGGAATAATGTGTGTTTTGTGACTATCTGATCTTCGTTGCCACTGAAGACAGAGCAAGGTGCCTCATTAGATAATTGTGGACCCAGATCAATGTGTGTATTATACCTAGCCTTCAAAGCAGAGGCTCAGCTATCTAGGGGGACAATTTTAAATGTCTGAATTCTCATCTTGTTTTTATACATATATGTATTTTTTAATTGACTTCAGAGAGAGAGAAAGGGAGGGAGAGAGAAACATTGATTTTGCTGTTCTACTTACTTATGCCTTCATTGGTTGATTCTTGTATGTGCCCTGAGCTGGATTGAACGCTGACATTGGCTTATCGGGATGAGGCTCTAGCCACCTGAGTAACCTTAAAGTTTATAGCTAAGGAAAACACCTGTGGCACAGGAGCTTACTTAAGTAATGGAATAGCTTTACCATATTTTGCTGTGTATAATATGCTCCCCAGGTATAATGTACACCCATGTTTTTGTGTGCATTATACACAGGATTATTGTATCTATTATTATATCCATGGTATGTAATCTTTATACCCATGTATAATGCACACCTTAATTTTTCCCTCAAAAATTTGGGCAAAAAAATACACAATATACATGGCAAAATATTGTAGTCAGTCTATAATTACAGCATTAGCTTACGTAGAAAATTGTCAAGTACTGAAATTAATAACTTTTAAGAAAAATATGAAATTAGCCCTGACCAGTATGGCTCAGTTGTTTGGGTGTCATTCTGCAAACTGAAAGGTCTCCCATTCGACTCCTGGTCAGGACGCATGCTTGGGTTGCAGGTTTGGTCCCTGGTCAGGGCCACCTATGAGAGTCAACTGATCAGTTTTTCTTCCTCTCTTAAAAATAACAGGGAAAAAGTAAATTAAAAAATGTAAAATTATAAAATGAGCACATTTTGTTGAAAAGACAGAAAGGGAAAATGAAGAAATAAATCATTGATAACTCTAGTACCAGAAATAACTATTGTTAACATTTTATTATACTAATTTTAGTTTTTAATTGCCACTTTTAAGAATTGGGTTAGGGTGCAATCCTTTTTGGACAAGGAGTCAGAATTAAATTACTTATGTATTACATGGATGGAACAAGCTGTGTCATATCACTGGTCAGTTCTCCACTATTTGTTTTTATTCTAAATTGTCACTTTTTTAAAGTCATTTTTTAAAATTATTTTTTATTTATTTCTATTTGTTTTCAGATGACAAAGAAATGTTCTCAACTTTTAACTCTAGAGAAACAACTGGAGGAAAAAATAATTGCTTATTCCTCTATTGCTGCAAAAAATGCGGAACTCGAACAGGAGCTTATGGTAAAAATTACCCTACCACTTTTTTTTTTTCACTACAAATTTACCATGACTTTAAGGCACTTAATTTGTGATAGCCTGTTTGTTTCAGTATCATTATTACAAAATGTACCATGTAGGAAAGTATAAATTCTACTAAACTTTTCTTATTTCTTTTTTGTTGATCTGTGTTTTTTAGGTTAATAAGCTTATATGCAACTGTTACTTATATGCAACTTATATTTTCCTTTTTTTTTACATTTTCTCATTTTTATTCTAGTAGAGTTGAAGGAAATCGTAGTAGTTCTTTGACATTGTCAGTATTTTAAAGTAGTGTAATTTTCTCATTTTGATATAACTTTTTAAATGACCATTTTATCTTTTTTAAATTTTATTTATTTTTTATTGATTATGCCATTACAGTTGTTCTATTCCCCCCTTCATTCCCTTCCACCCTACCTCCCTGTCCCCATTACTCCCCCCTTTAGTTTATGACCATGTGTCTCAAGTTTTTTAGATTCTATATTTCCCATATTATTCTTGCCCCCCCCATATATTTTCTATCTACTGTCTATGCTACTTATTTTCTGTACCTTCTCCCCCTTCTCCTCCTCCCATTCCCCTGTGGCTAACCCTCCTTGAGATCTTCATTTCTATGTTTCTACTCCTGATCTAGCTGTCCTTTTAGTTTGCTTTTGTTTTAGGTGTGGTTGTTAATAACTGTGAGTTTGCTGTCCTTTCACTGTTCATGTGTTTTTAACTTCTTTTTCTTAGATAAGTCCCTTTAACATTTCATATAATAAGGGCTTGGTGATGATGAACTCCTTGAATCTGATCTTATCTGAGAAGCACTTTATCTGTCCTTCCATTCTAAATGAAAGTTTTGCTGGATAGAGCAATCTTGGTTGTAGGTCTTTGGATTTCATGACTTGGAATACCTCTTTCCAGCCCCTTCTTGCCTGTAAGGTCTCTTTTGAGAAATCTGCTGACAGTCTGATGGGAACTCCTTTGTAGGTGACTGTCCCCTTATCTCTTGCTGCTTCTAGGATTCTCTCCTTCATTTGAATCTTGGCTAATATAATGATGATGTGCCTTGGTGTGTTCCTTCTTGGGTCCAACTTCTTTGGGACTCTCTGAGCTTCCTGGATTTCCTGGAAGTCTGTTGCCTTTGCCAGATTGGGGAAATTCTCCTTTATTATTTGTTCAAATAAGTTTTCCACTGGTGGCTGTTCCTTTCCCCCTTCTGGTACCCCTATAATTCGGATGTTGGAGTGTTTAAAGATGTCCTGGAGGTTCCTAAGACTCTCCTCATTTCTTTGAATTCTTGCTTCTTCACTCATTTCTGTTTGGCCATTATTTGTTTTCTTCTGGTCCACTCCATTGATTTGAGTCCCAGTTTCCTTTTCATTGCTATTGGTTTCCTGTGCAATTCCATTATTTCAATTAGTTTTGCCTTCATATATTTGTCTAATTTGTGGCTATAATCGACCAGTTCTGTGAGGATCCCGATCACCAGTGTTTTAAACTGTGCGTCTGAGAGTTTTGCTATTTCTTCATCACTTAGATTTATAGGCTCTGGGGCTTTGAGCTCTTCTTGAGCCATTTTTGGTCTGTTCGTGGCCTTTAAGTGTGAGGAGCCGTGCCTTGGACTCCCAGGTCGCTGGGTTGTGACGCTTATGTGGGGGCGTGGTCAGAGCGGCACCCTCTGCTGTTTCATGCCGCTGGGTGAGGAGCAAAGCCTTAGGTGGTTCACCAGGGCTGGGCCACTCAGAGTCGCTGGGTTATGATGCTGTATGTGGAGGTGGGGTCAGAGCAGGGAAATGGCGGTGCCCTCCACTGCCGCTTGCCCGGGGACCTGCTGGGTCCCGTCTAATCGCCCACTCCCTTGCTTGTCTATCCGCGCACAAATGCGCGACCACAGTCAACCCGCAGCCCTGCTCCCTCACTGTTTCCCTGAGGTCACTCGCTTGTTTCCCTGAGGTCACTCGCTTGGTCACTCGCTTAGTCGCTCGCTTGGTCGCTCACTAGGCCCAACCCTGCGCCTGGATTCCGTGTGCCTGAGTCCGTCTGACCGAGTTTTCCTGTACAACCCCGCTCCACCAGCTGCTGGTTTCGCCCCTTACCGGTCAGGCTGAAGAATTTGTTGTTAACAGACTTCCAAAAAGTTCAATTTTCTGTGTTCTGGCTGTGTTTTCTGTTGTTAATATTTAGTTGTCTCTAAACTTGGTTGTGTGAGAAGGCACGGCATATCCACCTATGCCTCCATCTTGGCGGAAGTCTCCATTTTATCTTTTTCATAAATATTTAATTATTTTTGAAGTTCAACATATTAAGTACTATGGATTTTTTAAAAGTATAGATTATCACTAATGCTTTACTAATGTACTTTTATGTAAAACTAGCTCTTGGTTATCTTCTTAATTGTTTTTGTATTTCTAGGAAAAGAATGAAAAGATAAGAAGTCTAGAAACCAATATCAATACAGAGCATGAGAAAATTTGTTTAGCTTTTGAAAAGGCAAAGAAAATTCATCTTGAACAGCATAAAGAAATGGAGAAGCAGATTGAAAGAGTAAGATACTTACATTTTTACCAGTAGATATGATATATAGTTAGAATATAGATGCTAAAAATTACCTTAAACATTACTAGCCCAGCTTTCTTTTTTTTAATATATGAGGAAATGAAGACATAAAAATTATTGGCGAGTGTTATAATTAGAATTCCATTACTCTGGATCATTTTATAATGCTTTCTTATATAGTACTTCTGCTGTTTCAGTTTTAATTATCATTTTTTGAAATTATCAAACTAAGAGTGATTCTGTAGACTCTTTTCCACTAGAGATATAAGTTGTTTCAAGATTGGTTGAGAATAGAAGCACTCTTAACTCTGAGTGAAAAGTAGATATCCCTCAAGACTTAATAAAAAATTAATTGTGTGTATATGCTTAATGGCAGAATGGAGCTAATGAGGGAAAATTATATGAGCTTGAAATATAGAGCAATAGACACTATTAAGTCTGAGCAACAGAGAAAAGAAAAGATTTGGAAGAAAATCAACAGAGCCTCAGAGACACATGGGACAGTATCATAAAGTCTAATATTCATGTTCACAGAGTCCCAGAGAATAAGGTTGGTGCAAAAAAATATTTGAAAGAATAATGACAGTAAACTTCACAATTTTATTGAAGGAAATAAATTTACAAATTCAACAAGCATAGTGGGGTTAAGTCAAAACAACTTTCCACTATACTAAAGTTCTTGCTGAAAACCAAAACAAAAATGTCATAAAAACATCCAGAGATAAACAACACATTGGATTTAGAGGAACAAAGATGAAATGTACTGTAGAATTCTCATCAAAAACTGAAGGTTAGAAGACAGAAAACTTTTTCTTTTCTAGTGCTGAAAGAGAAAACCATTAACCTACAATTCTGTATCCAATAAAAATATTCTTTAGGAAATATGAAAACATTCTTAGATGGAGGACAGTTTAGAAAATTTGTCACCAGGTGACTTATTCTAAAATAAGATTCTTCGGGCAGAAAGAAATAATATCAGAAGGAAACTTGGAATCTCAGGAGTGAAGAGTAACAAAAACAGTAACTTTTTGGTTAGATATAGTAAACTATTTTTCTTCTCTTAAGGTTGTATGACAGTTGAAAGAAAAAATTATAACATCTAGTGAGGTTTTAATATATGTTGGTGTAATACATTGGAAACTACAGTATAAAAGAGGGAGGGTAAAGGGATCTCTGATTATATAAAGTTTCTGTACTTCATTTCAATGTGGCAAAATCTTAATTTTCAGTAAACTTTGAAAAATTAAATATGTATATTATAATCCCCAGAAAAAACACTAAAAATGATACAGATATAGTAATGAGCCAGTAGATGAAATAGAATTCTGAAGATACTCATATATTTAAAAGAAGGCTGGAAAGGAAAAACAGGAATGAAAAACAGGAGACAAAGAGAAAATTAATAATAAAATTATATGTTTAAATTGAGTCATATCAAATACTACTTTAGACTAACATATGCTAAATATACCAGATAAAGACCTGTGATTGTGAGATTGGATCAAAAATTAAGATTCAGTTATATGTGCTGTTCAAGAAATCCATTAAACATAAAGATAGGTAGGTTGACTATAAATGGTTGGAAAAACATGTCCGAGGCAAAGAAAAGGAAGCTGCAGAGGCTATATAAAAATCAAAGTAGACATCAGAAGAAAGAAAATGACAATAAATGAAGAGGAACATTACATAATGATAAAAGGCTCAATTTACCAAGAATTTATAACAGTCTTAAATGTGTAGGTACCTAACAATAGAATTTGAAAATACATGAAGTAAATGTGAAGAGGTCTGAAAGGAGAAAGAAATTAATCCATAATTATAGTTGCAGACATCAACACTACTCTTTTATGTAATTAATAGAATAAAGAGACAAAAAAAATCAAGGATATAGAACTCACCTTAGCCTAATTAACATTTATGGAATATTCCACCCAACAACAGGATATAAGGTCTGTCCAGAAGGTATCCAGCCATGTAATATGAAAAGCAGAGACATTTATAGAAGAAGATACAAGATACTAGAAACATTGTACATGGGACAGTGATGCCGCCTCAGTCCCCTTCAAAGTAGGCACTTTGAGACCTCACACAGTATTCCAGTCATCATCAGCTGCCCTGTCAGATTTTCCTGAATCTTATCGATGGTCTGAAATGTCTTCCCTTTCAAAGATGATTTTAGTTTTGGGAAAAGCCAGAAGTTGTAGGGCGCCATATCTGGCCTGTTGAGGGGCTGAGTCACCTGGGTGGTTTGACATTTCCCCAAAACACTCTGCACCAGACGTGATGCATAAGTGGGCACTCTGTTGGGATTAAGCTGCTGATCACCAGCTGCTCATAGCTGTGGCCCCCTGAATCATCTGAATAGTTTCTGCAGAGGAATGCTCAAGCTTAATGCAAAATTTAAGGCAGATTCATTGCTCTACTTGCTCAGTCATTTCAATGTGAAGGCCACATAGTACACATGCTCACTCAGTGGTGTCTGCTGCAACCACTGACTAGTACAGTGAAGCATCATTGTTCATGCAATGTGCATTCCAGTCCACTCTCCTTGGCTGCCAGGTTACACTGATGTCACGCAAGCCGTTCATGTTATATTAACAATGGTTGGACTTTTCCCATGTAAACGTCATATGCATTCATCTCCAGTGCACCTGAAATATTCACCAAGGTATACTGTACACCGTCAAAATAAACTATCTAGTGAAAAATTAAAACCATACACAGAATATTCTCTGACCACAGTGGAATTAAACTAGGAACCATTAAGATATCTAAAAAATCTCCAATATTTGAAGCTAAATAACACACTTCTAAATAATCCATGGATCAAAGAGTAAGTCTCAAGGGAAATTAAAACTTTAAACTGGATGAAAATGAGAACATGACATAAAAATTTGTGGGATGCAGTACTGTGAAGCTTAGAGCATTAAGTGCATGTATTAAAAGAAAGTGAAGAAAGTCAGTAATATAAACTTCTACCTTCAGATACTAGGAAAGGAGGAGCAAAATCAACCCAAAAGAAGCTGAAACATGGAAATAATAAAAGGCATATTTGAAATAACTGAAATTGAAAAGAGAATGTAAAGAAAAATCAGTGAAAACCAAAGCTGATTCTTTGATAAGATCAACAAATTTATAAACCTCTACTCCGACTGAGCAAGAAAAAAGGAGAGAAAACACTTCCTGTATCAAGAATGATAAAGGTGTATAGAACTACAGACCCTGAAGATATTAAAGGTTAATAAAGTAATACTACAAACAGTGCTGTACACATTAATTTGACGACTTCTATGAAATAAACTGATTCTTCAAAAGACACTAATCATACTTTGTAAGGCAGATTATCTGAATAGTTCTACATATATTTAAAAAATTGGATTTGTAGTTTAAAAGCTTTCAAAAAATAAAGTTGCAGGCCCATATGCTTTCACTGGTAAATTCTTAACAGACATTTAAGGAACTAGTAACACTTTTATACAATTTCTTCCAGAATAAAGAGGAAGGATTACTTCCCAACTCATTTGATGAGGCTAGTATTACAATGATATCAAATTAAGACATAGTATCAGAAAAGAAACATAGACTAACATACCTTATGAATGTTGAAGCAAAAATACTCAACAAAATTACATATTGTTCATGGATCTAAAATGTAGTATTTAAAAGTACAGAAAGCACGTATAAGACTGAAACACACCACAGAATAATACAGGTCATTTTCAGCATAGTATTGGTGAAGGAGTAAAGGAATAAAACATGGGTATGTGATTTCATTTCTTATCTAAAAAGAGGGAAGCTGAAGAAAATTTGGCAAAATGCAAAAATGTATGTAATTTCAGTAGTAATTCAACATGAGAGTATTATATCTCTTTGTATATTTAAATTTAAAATTTTAAAATTTTGAGGTAAAAATTAATAAATCTCATTTTTATGTTTAGCTTGAATCTCAACTAGAGAAAAAAGATCAACAATTTAAAGAGCAAGAAAAGACTATATCCATTTTGCAGCAAGACATAATGTGCAAACAACATCATCTTGAATCACTAGACAGACTCTTGACAGAAAGCAAAGGGGTAAACCATCTTTATAAAAATGCTGTTTAAGAGCTGACTGATAGCCCTGGCTGGGTGGCTTGGATGGTTGGAGCATTGTCTGGTATACCAAAAGGTCATGGGTGCAATTCCTGATCAGGGCACGTAACCTAGGTTTTAGATTTGATCCTCAGTCAAGGTGGGTGTGGGAGGCAACCAATGTATGTTTCTCATATCGGTGTTCTTTTTGTTTTTCTTTCTCTCCCCCCCTACCCCCGCTTTTCTCTCTCTTTAAAACTAGTAAAAATATATCCTCAAGTGAGTATTTAAAAAAAACTGAGTAATACTTTTAGTTTATGTTTCTGTAACATACCTTTAATTCTGTCAGTTGTTTAACAGCACATCGGTAATGCTAAAATGTTTATATACATACTTACACTTTTGTTTGTTAATATGTGTGTTTTCAGGAAATGGAAAAGGAAAATCTGAAAAAAGATGAAGCTTTGAAAGCATTACAGAACCAAGTATCTGAAGAAACAATCAAGGTTAGGAGGCTAATACCTAAAAATTTTTTTTAATTAAAAAAATTTTTTTGTAACGAAGTCATTCCTGTAGCTTTTCGCTTTTCCCTATAAATTGCAAAAATTGTTTATGTAAAAATCAATTAAGAGATAAATATTTTACGTAGATCAGTGGACTTAGTTTCTATATTTTCTTCAATGTGATCTTAATTATTTAATAGTTAATAATTTAGTTTGTATAATATCTAAGCTCTTTTTTGCCTTTGTATATTATCTAACCTGTTTCTTTTTTTTTCAACATAAGCTAATTACCAACATTACTAGTAAAGAATTAACAGAGAAAGTGAAGGAAGATGAAACTATATGCGGTCCACTTTTGTTTCTTTTAATCTGTTCTAAGATTAATTAGGGGATAAATTCAGAATTCCCAAATAAAACATAGTTTTGTGGCTAATATATTTTTATACTTAAAAGCATGGAATTTGGAGCTAAATTAACTTGGATTTCAGTTCTTGCTTCAATGTGTTTACTAACTGATTATAACCTTGTCTGGTTATTATGCCCTCTGAACTTTAATTTTTTAATTTGTAAAATAAGGATAATAATATTGTGAGAATTAAATTAATGAGGTACATAAAATGTCTAGCATATACTAAGTTACTCAAAGTTTAATAAGTAATTACTATGTATTAAATATTTTCTAATTACCATTTTTAGTGTTAAAAATAAATCCAAGCATACTGCTACCTTTATTTGTCATATATAGCTTGAATGTAATGGATTTTTAAAAATCTATGTTGTTTAGTACTTTTTTCCCTACTACTCTGTTTTTAATCCATTTTGTGACCTTCTGTACCCTTATTAACGCAGCTATAGGTTTATCCATAAATTTCCTATATTTTCAAAAACTTTTAATATTTCATGTCATATTAATTTATTTCCTCATGTAAAATTAATCTCTAAGATCATTAACATTAAAAATACTATTGTACAGCCCTGGCTGGTGTAGCTCAGTGGATTGAGCGCGGGCCTGTGAACCAGAGGATTGCGGTTGGATTCCCAGTCAGGGCACATGCGTGGGTTGCAGGCCAGTTCCCTGCAGGCCACTTCCCAGCAGAGGGATGCACGAAAGGCAACCTTACATTGATGTTTCTCTCCCTCTCTCCTTCCCTTCCCCTCTAAAGATAAATAAATAAAATCTTAAAAAAAAAAAAAACTACTGTACAAAGGTTGTAGGCATGAAATAATTTTATTAAATAAAGTTCATGTTGCCACTTAACTCCTGTTTTTCTTTGAACTACCTAACACATCTAGCCAACCACTTGGTAAGTTATTTCTTCATGTTAATAACCAGATATAAAACAGGAAGGGAATTAGTGAATAAATTATGATGTTGGGTTTTATTCCCTTGGATACCTTTAATAATTTTGCTGGTATTGGAGAAAAAGTCAAAATAAGAAACAAAAATCTTATGACTCAAGTTATACTAAATGATTCTTAGCATATAGGATATTTGTAGCAACAAAGTAGAAGTTTGAAATCTAGTTCTCTTTTCTTATGTCATTACCATCTTTCCAGACATTTGGCCATGCCCTTCTACATGTTTCAGTTTGTTCTTTGCATAAAAAAATATTATGAATTTTCTATCTGTAGGAGAGTTACAGGGATCAGTTTAAGTTATGTCACTTATAAAAGTATGCTGTAGCTTTTGTTTTGGTTTTATTTACCACTCCAGATTCTTTTTCTCCCCCCCAAAGAAAATTATAAGTGGAAAAACACAAATAGAAAAGAGGAGCTTAGGTGCTTTTGTTGAAGAAAGGGTAGCCTAGAACTCCCACCTGGTTGCCCCCAGACTGTGCCCCTAAGGTTTTTGGTTCATAAGAGCAGTACAAATACTTATATTTGTAAGTGGTTTGTATAAAGTAATGACATTTATTTTTATGAGATTCAGAGTTGTAGTTTGGTTTTTTATTAATATGTATTTATTTTAGTGGTTTATTAATTTTAATTAACTTCCATCCAACAAAATTATTAAAAGAATAGTATACAGAATATCTTTGTACCCCTCACCTAGATTCACCTAGAGTTTGTTAAACTCTAGCTATACTCACTTCATTTCTCTTCACACATATGCACGTGCCCACTTGTGTTTGCACCCACCTAATCCCACCCCTGCTCACACACTCCCTTTTTCCCAGACCTCCTGAGAAAAGTTTGCAGATGTCATAACACTTTATACCTTTAATACTTAATGCTATATCTTCTATGAACAGAAACTTTATCTTACATAACCACACCACCTATACTTACCAGAGAAAGTAAACAATAATTCAGTAACATCATTCAGTACACAGTCCATACTGAAATTTTTGCAATTATTTAAAATTTTTAAAAATATATTTTATTGATTATGCTATTACTGTTATCCCATTCCCCCTCTTTATTCCCTTCCACCCTGTGCATACCCTCCCACCCTCATTCCCCCCTTTTAGTTCATATCTGTGGGTCATATATATAAATTCTTTGGCTTCTGCATTTCCTATACTATTCTTAACCTCCTTCTATCTTCTACCTATCATTTATGCTACTTATTCTCTGTACCTATTCCCCCTCTCTCCCCACCTACTTCCCCACTGATAACCCTCCATGTGATCTGTTTCTGTGATTTTGTTCCTATTCTAGTTGTTTGCTTAGTTTGTTTTTACTTCAGGTTTGGTTGTTAATAACTGTGAGTTTGTTGTCATTTTACTGTTCATATTTTTTATCTTTTTCTTTTTCTTAGATAAGTCCCTTTAACATTTCATATAATAAGGGCTTGGTGATGATGAACTCCTTGAATTTGACCTTATCTGAGAAGCACTTTATCTGCCCTTCCATTCTAAATGAAAGCTTTGCTAGATAGAGCAATCTTGGATGTAGGGTCTTGCTTTTCATGACTTTGAATACTTCTTTCCAGCCCCATCTTGCCTGCAAAGGTTTCTTTTGTGAAATCAGCTGATAGTCTTATGGGAACTCCTTTGTAGGTAACTGTCTCCTTTTCGCTTGCCATTTTAAAGATTATCTCCTTATCTTTAACCTTGATTAATGTAATTATGATTTGCTTTGTTGTGTATTTTGTTGGGTCCAACTTCTTTGGGACTCTCTGAGCTTCCTGGACTTATATGTCTATTTCCTTTGTCAGATTAGCGAAGTTCTTCATTATTTTTTCAAATAAGTTCTCAATTTCCTGCTCTTCCTCTTCTCCTCTGGAACCCCTATGATTCAGATGTTGCAATGTGTAAAGTTGTCCTGGGAGTTCCTAAGCCCCTTTTCCTTTTTTTTGGATTCCTGTTTCTTCATTCTGTTCTGGTTGAATGTTTATTTCTCCCTTTTGTTCCAAATCATTGATTTGAGTCCTGGTTTCCTTCCCTTCACCAGAAATACCCCCACATTTTCATTTTTTTACTGACTTCAGCATATTGAGAATATTCACACCATAGCATTGTTAGGATGATATACCAGTTGTACTCACTTTCCATTTTTCTTGATCAAGGGAATATGGATCAAGGATTAGGCTTATCTTTTTAGGTTAAAAAATATTTACTTTACAGATTCTTGGTAGTTGGCCCATCTGTCTTGCCAAATTTACTGCCCAAATACCCATCTCCAACAAATTCATACTCTTGATACACAGAGCTCCTGCCAGCTTCTCACAATTCCCTTTTATAGTAACCCAACATACTTCCTCATCCTGGAATACCCTTTTGCACTTGTTAAGTTCTATTTGTTTTTCAAGACTGCAGTCTCTGGTTTGCTAATTTCCAATGAAAAGTTAGTTTTTAAGTAAATCCCATAAGTAAGAGAAATTACTTAAATCTCTTTTTAAGTAAATCTGTAATAGCATTTTATATCCTATGTTTGACTGTATAGTCACTGTTTGAAGCAGTGAGTTAACATTAGGACACAAGTCTGTAAAATATTGAATGTATAATAAACATTTACTGTTCAGTTGATTTTTCTATTTTGCATTTTTCCTACTTAGGTCAGACAGTTAGATTCAGCATTGGAAATTTGTAAGGAAGAACTTGCCTTGCATTTGAATCAATTGGAAGGAAATAAGGAAAAGTTTGAAAAACAGCTAAAGAAGAAATCTGAAGAGGTAAATGAAAGTTTTCTTTATATATGGAATATTTTCCAAGTGTTTCTTTGAGTCACTATTTATTTTCAAGGTGCTCTACAAGTACATTTTTATGTAGCTCATATAAAAAATCTTTTCAATAAAGTGGAGACTTTAATTTTATATTCTTTTAAAAATAGACATTGTTGCCCTGACTGGTATGGCTCAGTGGGTTGAGCACCAGCATGCAAACCAAAGGGTTGCCTATTCAATTCCCATTTAGGGCACATGCTTGGGTTGCACGTCAGGTCCCCAGTAGGGGGCGCTCAAGAGGCAACCATACATTGATGTTTCCCTCTCTCCCTCCCGTTCCCACTGTAAAAATAAATAAATAAAATCTTTAAAAATATATTATTTCAGTGCAGCACAAAATATGACACCTTAAAATTCTGGTGCTTTTACATATTTTTAGGGAATCAGAAAATTAAATTATTAATATCACAAAGTAAGTCTAATATAGATGGTTAATACTTAGAACATTGAGACTTAGAAGTATAAAATTCTTAAAATATTTTCCATTTTGCTTTTGTTTTTTCTAGTTGTCTGAAGGATTGAGAATTAGAAGTTAACTTTATTGAAATGAGTTTTTCAGATGTTAGAAGATTTTTCTTGAGTTATCTGTGTCTATTATTGAGTTATTTATTTGTATCTTCATTGTCTATCACTTTGCTTTCAACATAATAGGTACTCAATAAATGTTTGCTCAGGATAGCCTTTGAGGAATTCCTATATATTTTTTTTAGAATTAATAATACAGGATGGGCAAAAGTAGGTTTACCGTTGTGACTGTGTGAAACACAGTTTATTCTTGTATTATTATTTACTATTGTGTTATTTTCCATACAAACAACTGTGAACTTACTTTTGCCAACCCCTGTGTTATGTATTTAAACCTTAAAGTTATGTTTAGAAATAGCCTCCAATAAGTCTTTGTTAAATTGACTTGAATATAGCAGAAAAATCCAACCAGAAAAGCAGAAGCTCTTCTGTATCTTTAAAATGGAAGGATTTTTTTTACAGAGAAGTAGATACACAGGTGATGGAAGAGGAGAAAAGCCAGCTGAAGCATGCTAAGGTGACTCAAGGTATCATAGCAGGGATCCCCATAATATCCTTAGGGATAGATGAACATCAAGGAGAGTTGATGTGATCATAGTTGGGTGGCAGGTCTGCTTGCTTGGTGGAGCTAGGGCCACAGAGAAAGAGTCTGTCTCACAGAAACTGGACTGTAGAGGAGAACTCTACTACTGGCCCCTCCCAGTGGCCAGATCTATGTTATCCAGAGGGCAGTTTTCTGTAATACACAGAGCAGAGCAGGGGGAAACCAGGGTGCCTCTAAGACCAGCACTCCGGACTTAGATGCACCACGTAATTATCTAACTTCAGATGTAAAAAAAAAAGAAGAAGAAGGAACCATCATATTTTATGTGGTCCTATCTTCTACTTTCTTTCATAAAGGTTTTTATGGCTTTGACAGATGGGCACATGTATTTCTCCACTCTAACATATGGAAACATATGTATTTTTCCACTCCAAACCTAAACTGTGGATACCTTAACTTTTTAAAATATGAATGTCTTTTCTTTGCCACAATCTGCTTTAAGATACTATTTAGGCATTTGCTGTAGAGCCTTCAGTTAATACTACAGTATAAATGAACCTAGGAGAGATGGAATCTGGAGATAGACAGTGTTTGTAATAAGATCGTTCGTTCTTACAAACAGCATCAAGAGACTAGGTAGATTATTAACATTTACCCAAAATTAACTCACAGTTTTTTTTCAAAATAGCTAAAAATACAAACTGAGGTTCAAACTGAATTAGAAGCCCTGACCAGGTAGCTCAGTTGGTTAGAGTATTGTCCCAATATGCCAAGGTTTGGGGTTCAATCTTCAGTCAGGGCACATATAAGAAACAACTAGTAAATACATAAATAAGTAGAACAACAAATCAGCCTCTTTTTTTCTCTTCATCCCTCCCCCCACCCCTCCATTCTTCCCTCTCCCTCACTCACTTCCCTTCTCTCTAAAGTCATCAATAATTAAAAAAAAATTTAGCGCTGACCAGTGTGGCTCAGTTGGTTGGTCATCATCCCACAAAGTGACAGTTCCCCTGTTTTATTCCTGGTCAAGGCACATTCCTGGGTTGTGGGTTTGGTCCCTGGTCAGGGTGCATAAGGCAGGCAACTGATCGATGTTTTCTCTCTCACATCGACATTTCTCTACTTCTTTTTCTCCCTTTCTTTTCCTCTTTCTAAAGTAAGTAAGTAAGTAAGTAAAATCTTTAAAAAATTGCTAACTGAATTAGAAATCAGAAGTGGTAGTAAGGTATGTACAACCTTACTAGAGAATAAGTAAGAAAGATTTGCAAGCTCTTTTATTTCTACTAAATTATTGGCTTAAGTACACATGCATTGGCTTACTTAAAAGACCACCTTTGCCCTGGCTGGTGTAGCTCAGTGGATTGAGCTCGGGCCTGCAAACCCAGTCAAACATGCCTGGGTTGCAGGCCAGTTCCCAGCAGGGGACACATGAGAGGCAACCATACATTGATATTTCTCTCCCTCTTTCCTTCCCTTCCCCGCTAAAGATAAATGAATAAAATCTTTAAAAAAAAGACCATCTTTCATTTTTTTGTGTATATTGATATGAAACATGGAGACAAATCCGATTACTGTTTACTTTTTTTTTAGGCACTGACTCATGCATTTACTTACTTTTGACTTATTTGTCTTCAGAGCAAATTATAGTGTCTTACAGAGAAAACTAAGGATGGTTAATATAATTAATATTACAGCAAAGTTGTGAAGTTTTCATTGTATATAGCTAGGTTTTAGCAAATTTGATTTACATCTTAGTATGTCTATTCTGTTAATAATAGAAGGTATTGTTAAGATGTTTTCATCTTTTTAATAAGTGGATGTTTCCAAATCACATAGTAGCTGAATAATTAAGTGGCTCCAAAACATATTGGTAGAAAGTTAGCCAGTTATACAAACCACCTATTATTTACCCATGACAAAAAGCTAAAAAATATTCCTCTGAGGGCATTACTCAGCAAATATTCTTTTCCACGTGTTGAAAATAAATAAATTTATGATTAAAATAATAGTGACCTTGGGGGTCCTGAATTATTTTGAAAATATTTTAATTCCATATTAAAATGCCTTAAAAGTGATAAAAGTATGTGTTTATGCAAAATTACATTGTCAACATGATAGAAGAAAATAAACACAAAATTGATATAAATAAGCCTAAACATTTTCTGCGTAAAGCATTTATTTATTAAAATCAATTATTTTAGTAATAAATATTTTTATTCAAATTGATGGGCTTAAATTTTGAGAAGTTGGCATCATATTGTAACTTTTTTAGGTTATATATTTATATTTTCAGTTTATATTAATATATAAAAATAAAGCATATATTGTGTTTTTTAAAGATTTTATTTACTTATTTTTAGAGAGAGGGGAAGAGAGGAAGAAATAGAGGGAGAGAAACATCCATGTGTGAGAGATACATTAATCAGTTGCCTCTCACTTACCCCTATCTGGGGACCTGGCCTGCAACCCAGGCATGTGCTCTGACCGGGAATCGAATTGGCAACCTTTCAGTTTAGTAACACCAGCCAGGGCTTATTGTATTTTAGTTAAGTAATAATTATGAGAGTGTCTTTTCTCTGGATTATACATTAGTACTAGATAAACAATTGTAAAGTAGATTTTATAATGTGAAGTTTTGGCTTTAATTATAGAATAATGACTCATTTAGGAAAACCTATTCTCTGAATGTAAAAACTTAGAAAATATAACCTAAAAACTATTTGTCATATAGTATTGACTTTTAGAGTAAAAGTTAAATGGAAGTTAAATGTTAGTGTGATGCAATGCTAATATAATCTGATAGATACAGGTTAATTTTTTGAATTATATTTGTGATACAACCAACATATTAGATAATTCAAAATTTTTAATGTAAGTTATTTTGCCAGTGGCTTGATTACTAAAATAAAATTTTTTCTTGTTATTATGGGCTTTCTTAGTGTTTTGGTAAGGCCTTATTTTTTTTCTTCTGCTTTGTCTGTTTTCATGTTTTATTTATTTATTTTTCTGAATAGGAAAATAAGTATAAAACAATGTACCAGTAAAGAAAAGATAGTATTTAAATTTATCTTGAAGGCAAGTCAGTTCTGTGTAAAATAAACTGCCAAAGTGTGATTTGCAGTTTTCTCAGGAGATAGCAAAGGGAAAACAAAGAAAGTAGGTGATACTCATACATATTTGTAGTAAATTATTTTCCTACAGACAAAATTAAGTAAAAAAAAATTAGCCTAAGAAAGGACTATAATAATAGGGTTAGAAATAGATTAGTTGCATGTGATATCTCAAGTTCTTCAAGTTTACAACATCATTGTATATAATGAAAAAGTTTGAAATATAAGGTTATATTTCAATTATGAGTGTTCAGCTGTTGGACAATTAGAAAAAAGAATCAAGTCAGTATTCTCTTCCATTATTTCTTGCAAGTTTTTTTCTTTTATTTTTAATATATTTTATTGATTATGCCATTACAGTTGTCCCATTTCCCCCCTTCATTCCCCTCCATCCTGTACACCCCCTCTCCCACCATTCCCCCTTTAGTTTATGTCCATGTGTCACAAGTTCTTTAGATTCTATATTTCCCATACTATTCTTGCCCTCCCCCCTGTCTATTTTTCTACCTACCTCTATGCTACTTATTCTCTGTACCTTCTCCCCCCTTTTCCTCCTCCCACTCCCCTGTTGCTAACCCTTCATGTGATCTTCATTTCTATGGTTCACTCCTGATCTAGCTGTCCTCTTAGTTTGCTTTTGTTTTAGGTGTGGTTGTTAATAACTGTAAGTTTGCTGTCCTTTCACTGTTCATCTTTTTTATCTTCTTTTTCTTAGATAAGTCCCTTTCACATTTCATATAATAAGGGCTTGGTGATGATGAACTCCTTGAACTTGACCTTATCTGAGAAGCACTTTATCTGCCCTTCCATTCTAAATGAAAGCTTTGCTGGATAGAGCAATCTTGGATGTAGGTCTTTGGATTTCATGACTTGGAATACTTTTTTCTAGCCCTTTCTTGCCTGTAAGGTCTCTTTTGAGAAATCTGCTGACAGTCTGATGGGAACTCCTTTGTGGGTGACTGTACCCTTATCTCTTGCTGCTTCTAGAATTCTCTCCTTCATTTTAATCTTGGCTAATGTAATGAGGATGTGCCTTGGTGTGTTTCTTCTTGGGTCCACCTTCTTTGGGACTCTCTGAGCTTCCTGGATTTCCTAGAAGTCTATTTCCTTTGCCAGATTGGGGAAGTTCTTTATTATTTGTTCAGATAAGTTTTCCACTTGTTGTTCTTCCTCTTCCTCTTCTGGAACCCCTATAATTTGGATGTTGGAACATTTAAAGATGTCCTGGAGGTTCCTAAGCCTTTCCTCATTTTTTTGAATTCTTGTTTCTTCATTCTTTTCTGTTTGGTCATTTTTTTTCTTCCTTCTGGTCCACTCCATTGATTTGAGTCTCAGTTTTCTTCCCATCACTATTGGTTCCCTGTGCATTTCCTGTTCACTTAATTTAGCCTTCATTTGTTCCTCTGATTTGTGACTAAAATCAACCAGTTCTGTGAGCCTCCTGATCACCAGTGTTTTGAACTGTGCATCTGATATGTTGGCTATCTCTTGGTTGTTTAGAAGTATTGGCTCTGGGGCTTTGAGCTGTTCTTCTTCTGGAGACATAAGGTTTTGGTCTGGTCACACATGTTATGTATGAGGAGCAGAGCCTTAGGTGTTTACCAGGGCAGGGTAACCCAGGTTGCTGGGCTGTGACTCTGTGTGTGGGGACGGGGTCAGAGAGGGGCAATGGTGTTTGCTCCGCTCTCTCTCGGATTTTGGTCCCCTCTTGTGCTTCCCAGAAGCAAGTTGGGCCCTTCTGGTGTCGGTTCCCCGGTATGTGGGCTTGTGTACCCTCCAGGACCCAGTGGGTCTCTCCAATGAACACTCTGTTAGCCTGGGAGGTTCTCCTAGCACCTCGACCCCGAAAGTTTTTCCAATTGGTGCTTTCAGGCTTTTATTCCCATTGCTGGGGCCCTAGCCTTCGAGGTCTGTCTCACTGCTCGCTCCTTTGCCTGGTTTATCTGAGTGTGAATGTGTGACCGTGGTCAGCCAGCCATCTTGTGTCCCCACTGGGTTTCCTTGTTGCCACCCCACACCTGGGATCTGCCAGTGGTCGCCTGTGCACCTAGGTTGGTCTGGTCCGGCCACTTTTTCCTACTGGGACCCCACTCTGCCAGCTGCTGCCTCTGCCCCTCTTACTGGTCTGGCTGAATGGTTTGTTGTTGTTGGACTTCCATACAGTTCAATTTTCTGTGTTTTGGTTGTGTTTTTGTTACTAAATCTTTGTTGTCTTTAAACTTGCTTGTGCTATGAGGTACAGTGTTTCCATCTATGCCTCCATCTTGGCCGGAAGTCTATTTCTTACAAGTTTGAAATTCCTTTTTTTTTTCTGGAATGATAATTATTGGAAAGACTCTTTGCTTTAAAGGAATGGCTTTATTTTCCTTCATTTTAAAATACTTAAATACAGAAGCAACAGTAAGAATTCTTTCATTACAAATTTTTATTAGCATTTATTTTTTGCTGAATTTACTGCCAGGTCCCAAGTATTTTTTTTCTGTAGTTTATAATGGGATATATTTTTGTTCTCTGCAGCCTCCTCTTCTGGTTTAGGAGCACTGTGCTCTTTTTTCAGTAAGGATCATGCCAGTGTGGCAGGAAGAGCTCATGTATAGGTTAACCTTCCCCTGAGTTCTGTAAGTTCTTCACTTGGGAGTTTCGTTCACCTCTATATGCTTAATGACCAGAGAGTCTACATCTAAACCCTTAAGCTCAGCATTACTGTTTGCATGTTTGAGCTTGTGCTGCAAAAATTCAGCCCTCTTTCTGGGCTACCCATGCTGTGTCCCGCCCCACTGTTTGACCTGAGCACACCTACCAACTCCACCATTGTAACAACAGAATGGCACACATTGCTTCTGCAAAGTGACGTCCTTCTGATGCTCAGTGACTTTTTGGGTATGCATACCCTTGATAGCTGGCCAGTTTTCACGAGTGTTCTTAAAGTGAACATGAGGATTTGATCCTCTTGATTTGCATGATTTTGTTAAGGGGTTTGTGTCAAGTGAATAGCAGACGATTTTCAGAGGTCATCTCCCTCAGGCCGCTTATGGGGGAAGAGCAATAATAAGTCTTTTAAAGAAGATTTACCTATAGTCCACTCTGTAATACTTAAGTTTTCACTTTTCTTCTCATGTGTCCCCTGCTGGGAACAGGCCTGCAACCCAGGCATGTGCCCTGACTGGGAATCCAACTGCGATCCTTTGGTTCGCAGGCCTGCGCTCAATCCACTGAGCTACACCAGCCAGGGCAGTTTTCACTTTTCTATTTGCCTATGTGTTTTCATAATTACATTAGTGAAATGTAATTGCTTTTTTCACTTAATTTCATTTTGTAAAATTTTATACTTCCTTCTCTCTTTTAAATTGGTGACATCACTTTAAATCAGATGATATGTCATCATTTATTTAACCTCCTTTGGGGAACAGGTGAACAATATTATAAAATGTACATTAAAATATATTGTATTATTTATACAATTTTAACAATAATCTCTTTGGGCAGATTTTTAGAATTTGGATATCTAGGACAAAGGGCATTTTTTTTCCTTTTTTTTTTAATGAAGAAAATGCTTTTCTTTTTTTTTTTTTTTAGATTTTATTTATTTATTCATTTATAGAGGGGAAAGAGAGAGGGAGAGAAACATCAATGTATGGTTGTCTTTCATGCATCCCCTGCTGGGAACTGGCCTGAAACTCAACCCAGGCATGTGCCCTGACTGGGAATTGAACCACGATCCTTTGATTCGCAGGCCTGCGCTCTATCCACTGAGCTCCACCAGCCAGGGCTCTTTTTCCTTCTTAATAGCTGCTTTTAGATAATCTCAAAGGTATCTTTTAAAGCAGTTTTGGGAGAACCCAGTATTGAAGTTTTAAATATTTGGAGTGAATGAGTCTGATTTCTTATTTTAATTGTCATTCTTTCAGGTGTTTTTTTAGATCATTAATATTCAAAAGTGTACTACTAGTATATCATTTTACAAACAATGGCAATAATAGCAACAGTAATGTAATAAATAGCACATAACATGCAATGCTTTCATGGCTGTAATTTGTTATCAAGAAGGGGAAAAGATACGTCTATGGGATTATAGAGAAATCCATGGTTTCCTGTATTCTCTTCTTTCTTTTGGGAGGGGTAACATAGAACATGCTTCATTCTGCAACAGTGAAATAGAGTAACGTCTGCAGTATTCCTGCCCAGGGAAGCCTGCTTATGACTCAAAAGATCAGGATATTTTAGGAGAGTTGGTTACATAGGAACAGCCATAAGTATTAAAATTCTAGACTTACAGAAGAAAACCACGATTCAGTGCCCTGTTCAGGCAAAACTGGGAATGTCAAAATCCACATTTCCAGACACCAGCCAAGAGCCAACTCTATAAGCATTCCCTTCTAACATATCTCCTCAGAAAAATGGACCCTGCCCTTCCACATGATAACCTATAGCCATAAATACAATTGTTCCACATGACAAGTGGGTTCATTGTCTAATAAGGCAGACAGCTTGGTCATTGTGTTGCTTTTTATTTGAAACATGTTATTATAATGAAATGTATATATTTGTTAGGTTTATTGTTTACAGAAAGAGCTAAAGATGAGAAATCACAGTGTTCAAGAGACTTCTGAGCAAAATGTTATTCTACAGCATACTCTTCAGCAGCAGCAGCAAATGTTACAGCAAGAGACAATAAGAAATGGAGAACTAGAAGACATTCAAACTAAGCTTGAAAAACAGGTATATATTATTGCTCAGAATTATTTTACTTGTATGAAATAGAAATTTTAAAAATTGATAATACATTTTTGTTGTGTAAGTTGCTGTTTGACCTCAGAGAGTTTATATTATAAGAAATATTCTATATTAACATTGTTAAATGGATAAAGTTCTATTCCTGTGTAATGTGACCATGTAATTCCGTAAGCCCATTTTGTCATTCCATACAACTTGGTTATAATTTAGATTTCTTTTTCTATCTCTCCTTTCTTCTTGGGCTTGAATATAATATCGATATGAATCATCATATCTTCCGATTTCTTCTTTTTGGATCAGGATATGTGTGATAATCCCTAAGGAAATTCCAAAGCAATGCCCTAAAAGAAAAATCCCTAGGGAACTACTTATTTTTAGTAAGTTATTATTCCAAAGAAAGAGTCTTAGGAAAATTTATACTAGTATCTAATCTTTGCTCTTTCATTTATTACCAAATTCATCTGAATTCTTCAGACAGATATTTCATACCTTTTATTCTTTCTCTTGTTTCAAACTTTACAGAAACATACACATTAGAAAATGGTGGTTCTGTGTAATCTCACTACCTATGTATTCTGAATTCATCCTCAACCTCTCCAGTGGAGCTAAAGAATCTCCCGTCAGTAAATTCAAACTTATCAGGCAGGTATTATGTATTTTCTTTTTTAGAGACCTCACTCGTATAACACTCTGTTCCTTTTGTTAAAGTCTAGACCTATTGCTTGATATGCCTGAAGTACATACAGCCTTACCCTGAAGCATTTCTTCATTTCACCTGTATGAGAGTCCCAGTTCCTAGATTTCTTGTCATTGACTCTGGGTTTTGCTGGATGGATTATAATTCTTGTTCCCACTAAAGTTGTTTTCATTTCTCTAACGGTCTTTTGTTTCTTGTTCTGTTGTTTTTCCTCCTAAGTCTGCCAGTTCATTTGTATTTTTCATTTGATAATTTTATTCTGCATCATCTTTATTTTAAGAGATTTTTTTGTGTTCTCTTTAATTTCTTTGGGGGCCTTATAGGAGTTTATATCTAAAAATTTCTTCAGTATTTGGAGTAAATTTTTTAGCAAATATTTTTCTAGCTTTCATTTCTGTTCCATTATTGCATAGGTTCTATGCCATATTCTTTCAGATTATTTTTCATCTTTAGATTCTTCCTGCTTATAAATGTGCTATTTAATTAAGCAGAGAGTAAGTAGATTTTTCATAGGATCCTTCCCTTTTTACTCAGGTACTAGTTTAATTTTATTCTTGGAACTTGAGTGGGAGGGTTGGTATTAATGATTCATAACCTGTATTTAGTTCTTCAGTGACAGGTTGTAGAAGAGCAGGAAGGATATTAAAGTCATTAGCCAGATATAACTTTGAGATCCCAGTCGTGTAAATGTTCATTGAAAACATGGAGTGCCTGAGATTCACTAGGGAGAGGATGTATGATGAGGGGTGAGAAGATGGACTCAGACAGATCTCTGAGGGGTGTAGTACATGGGAGCCAAAGTAACTATTTCATGAAGTAAGGCATGATGGGTGGTATCATGGGCTGCTGCAGTCAGTGTCACATGTCAAGTAAATTGAGTGTTTAGAAACATCCATTGGAATTAGCAACATGGAGGTGATTGATGACATTGCACATTTTCTGTAGATTGCTGTAGGTTGAGGAATGAATGAGAAATGCAGCAGTCATAGAAAACTGAGAAGTTGAACTACAGAGAGGAGGAAAGAAAGAGTAGTAGTTGAAGGGAGTTAGAGGTATGAAGGTATGAAGGAAAGTTTTTTACTTTGGGAACGTTTTGAGCATGTATACATGCTGATATAAAGAAATCAGAAGAAAGATAGATAGAAGGTACAGCAGAGAGTAGAGATAGTCAATAGCATGAGGTTCCTGAGGAAGTGGATAGGAATCGAATCCAGAATACCTATGCAGTATTGACTTGTGTAGGAGGAATAATATCTCCTTGACTGTAGCAAAACAGAAAGAAGAATGAATAGAGCAGATGAAAGTTATGTTGGGAGCAAAAGCAAGTTATAATGTTTGAGGGTGGACAGGAATCTAGGAATCAATCCTTCACTGAATGAGCCAGTTTGTGAAGGAGAAGAAATGGTTCGACAAGAGAAGAAAAAACATTTCAAATGGGGATAATAAAAAGGGTAATATTTACTATTGTTTTGTTCAATTCTTATAAGTCTTATTTTTAATGTTATGATATGGCCATTTCTATATATATGTATATGAATGGCATATCTTTATTATTAAAAACTGTTTCGCTTTTTTATATTTCAAAACATTATAGTAAGTTCTCATTTAACATTGTTGATAAGTTCTGTGACTTTAATGAAATGACAAATAAGAAAACCAATTTTATCATAGGCTAACTGTTATAAACAAGAGTTAGGTTCCTATATAACTCATCAATGTTATGATAAAACATTGGATGAAATAACATTATTCAAAGACCTGTAATTCCTTGTCTATTTGATGTTTTAAATACATCTTAAAATGATAAGTTAGGCAACAAATTTATATACCAGTAAATATTTTTTTTCTGAAGAATATTGAACCATGACTGAATTTTAAATACTTACTGAAAACTGCTTTACAAGGTATCAAAACTGGAACAAGAGCTTCAAAAGCAAAAGGAAAATTCGGCTGAAAAGTTGAGAAAAATGGAGGAGAAATGTGATGCAGCCACGCATGAAGCGGATTTGAAAAAGCAGAAAGTTATTGAGCTTACTGGCACTGCCAGGTAAAATGAATATGATAGTTTTTATTTGGCTTCCTCTTTCAACATTAATAGTATCTGAGTTTCAATATCAGATAATGTTCAGTGAAGCTTCGGCTTGAGGGATTAATTTCTCTACAGTCTGTGTTCCTATAGCAGTTTGTTTCTACCTCCCACATATGCCTCCTACTGGGTTCCTTAAGACCAAGATAACATCTGATTTATTTTAAGGGTCCTCCCACAACAATTAGCATAATTCCTTATACCTTAAAGGCTCTCGGCAACTGTTGTAGTGAATTAAATTGTGGAAAACATTAAAAATTGCAAGCCATGACGTACTCATACAGGAATGCGGTCAAATTGTTTATGGGAAGGAGTAACTTAACAGAATAAAGCTGTGGTTCTCCACCTTGACTGAACATTAAAATCATCTGAGGAGGTGTAAAAAATACTGATGCCTAGGTCTCACCTCTAAAGATTCTGATTTAATTTGGCTGGGCTGGGTCTAGGCATCAGTTAGTCAAGAGAGGGCCCTATGAGCTGAAAACTATACCCAGCCTTCCCAGACCTCTTCTACTTTGTCAGCAGAAGTTGAAATAATTAATAATGTGCTTATAATTAGACTGTCATCCTGCTGATAGGAGGCAAGAGCCAACTTACGCACTTGAACTAAAACCATATGTTGCCATGCTTCCTCTCTCCTACTGACAGGAGTAAAGATAAAGTCTTTGTGCCTTAAGTGTAACTTGCTTCCCCATATGTCCTCAGCTTTCTCAACAGAGTCAAAAAGGGTGTCCTGTGTTTAAAACTAAGACCACAGTTCTTTAGACTGTCTTTCTTCTATTGACAAATGTCTATCAGCTAGTACAGCCTCATCACCAGTGTATACCTTAATTCCTCAGATTAGTCACATCATAACTTTATTTTTGCTCATGCAAAACACCACTAGAAGCTGTAGATTTTCATGTTACCCTCATCTCTAATACCAACCTCTCCATATATTGTCTTTCCTTCTCCCACCTCATTCCACCTTCTGAAAGACTTCCACTATGTCCACTGGAATTCACAATCCATCCTGAGAGACATCCCCTATACTCTCTGCTTCTTTTCTCTTGCTGTAATAGAAATCTGACCCTCCCCTGAGGACATTACTTCTTTCCCTGCAGCCGTCTAAAGTAAAAACTTTTCTTCGTAGTTCTTGTACCACAGGGTTAAGATGTGTAACAGTATATTATACTCCATGAACCTCATGTCATCAGATCATATTATCCCTCACTGTTGCTGACACCTACAGGCTATCCAACTTAGTGTTGCTCTGTCTAAAACCACTGATGTAATTAATTATTCTTGGAGATTTCAATATACTGGCCATCTATCTGGCTGATCCTTTGACACCCTTGTGTTTTTTTTTAATTCTCCTTTAATGATCTTGATCTTTATCATACCTCAGCCACTCACATGATTTGCCTTTGATCTTGTCATTTATATTTCAGCATAATCTGAATACTATGCATCTACCCCCTATTATTCTCATTCCCTTTTAATACCCCAGCTTCAATAATTTTTTTATTTTATCAGGATCTCTAATCTGTCATTCCACCACTGTCTCATTCTCTTAATGTCCTCTCTTCTCTCTTTACCTAGCTTAAATTCTTTAGTCACTAAAATCACTGATTTGTATATATCCACAGTTCCTTCACTTTGCATATAACCACAGTTCTCTCTTACTTTGTGATACATAGCCTAAAAATCCACTCAGACTACACCATGTTTGCATCTTTACAGAGACTGGAGAAAAAATCTAACCATGCTGACCAATTTTACTTTAACATAATAACTTCAAATTTTAAGTGTTCCCTTAATGCTACCTGGCTGTATTCTTACACACCTTTGCCCTTTTTTTTTCTTTCAAAATTCCAACAATACCTCTCCAGTATTGCTGTTTTACTGAGAAAATTAAAGTAATAGTTTCTTTCTTTTCTCACCCCTACAATTTGACTTCAAGACAAAAACTCTCCATGGTTATAGCTATAGTCACATTTAGTAGTACAGGTAAGTCCTAAATACTAACAGGAAGATAGTTAAAGTTTATGGGACACACCCTAGTTCCAAGAAATCTCTTCCTGAAGCAGTGTTTTCTCTGTTTCTCTGTTCTCACTATCACTTCTGGAACTACAGTTTATAAAATTGTTTTCCTCTGCCAAAAGGTATTAGAGTTAAAATATATCTCTTATATATCTCCTCTGATCTGTTTTAGCATTAAAATATCTTCAGATAGAAAGAAAGGAAACTTATTTATTGAACACATCCTGTATGCCAGGCTGTGTGTGAAGTAAGCACATTAACTCAATCTTCAAAACAGCCCTAAGATCCACCCTCCCCCCTTCTGTTTCTGCCCCCTGCCAAGCTGGAAGGTGAAGGGTTTAGCCAAAGAACATATATTCACGACCCAAGACACAGACAACTGTGTGGGGAATGCCTGAGGGAGGGGGCAGGGCTAGGTGGGGGGAGGTGCAAAGGAGAAAAAAGCAGGGACAACAGTAATAGCATAAACAATAAAATATAATAAAAAATGCAACCGCTTCTCATTATGTAATGAATATTTATGACTTCAGATGTAATAAAACCTATTATTTTAAAAGATTGAAAAAATAGCCCTATGAGTTTTTATTATCTGTTTTTAGAATAAGGAAGCTGAACTCAAAGAAGTTAAGGTATGAGATGCACAAAGAAGTTAAGGTATGAGAAGTTAAGGCATGAGATGCACAATTGTTTACACCACTACTAAAATGTTCTGTTGGTATTCTATGTAAATGTCACTGCATTTGAATTATCCTAACCCTGTTTTTTTAGTGCTGAGGCGCATGTGGCACTTGTTAGATTTCTCAAACTGCCTCTATAGCCACTCGAAAACCTTTTTTTCACATTTGAAGAAGCCATTTGTTCAGCAGCTATGTTCTAAAAGTTTAGTAGTATTTTTGCAAAATCCTTCCTTCGGCCCTGTTTCCAATCTCAGGCTGGACTGTCCACAATACCTCTGCAACTGTAAGATTATTTCTGGAAAAAAAAAAACTGTGGGTTTCAAGTCTTGTAAAATTTTGAAAGTTATGGAGAAATTTTTAGTGTTGAATTATCTACATAATAGTTAAAATCTTAAACTCTTAAATATTTGTTATATTATAGTAATGTCTCACTTATGTAGCATCAGGAAATAATGCATGTTTGCTTATAAATAAATAAGAGTGGAATTTATCTTTACCAAGTAGGAAAACTTTAAAACAAAACAAAAAGTTTTTTGATAGAAGTTTTCCAAAATGTATATGTTCTTGTTATTTTTACCTTCTTTGGGTGCATTGGGGTTAAAATTACATATATCAGTTATTATACCATAGTAACCAGATGAAAAATTTAGGAATATAGAGCTCTATTTATTTTTTTACTTACTAGCTGTGATTTTTGAGGTTTTTTTTAAAATAATTTTCTCCAACTTTTTAACTGATGAGCTGTGACCTTTTGATACTGTAAGCCAACCTCTTTGAATTATTCTTTTAAAATTATGTTTTCTATCCACTCTAACATAAGAAAAAAATTAGCCAAGTTAAAAATCATTTACCTAGGGTTTTAGACATGTAAAAGGGTCATTAGCACTTGTCTAATCTAACAGTTCTTAACTTTGTTGTACCATGGACATATTTGAAGATATGGATCATTTCCTGTATGTAGACATAACATACACATACATAATTTTGCAAATTGTGTCAAGGGGGTTTTAGTTTTCCTGAAGTTCACTTATGGACATTGAAAAAAACATATTGAAAAATACAATTTTGTCTAAGTTGCATGTATTAGAAAATAAATGCTTCCACTTGCAACCTCAGTTGATAAAATGTCAAAGTCCAAAAGAACTACAATAACAAAAATGCTGATGCAAAGAAACATCAGCTCTACCCACTATTGTGGATGACATTAACAATTGTTTAATTAGTGAATATCATTTTGGAATTACCAACAGATGGGCTTGAAACTTCCTCTCACCATGTTGGTTAGCAATAAGTAGTGGAACTTCCATGGTACAATGAGCCCAGGACAGTCTGAAAGTTAATAAATTTTCACTATTAATAATTACTTGTATTATCCTAGACCATTGATTTTCAGCCAGTGTGCTGTGGCAAGATTTTTAATATACATAATATCCGACTAGTTAGGGGCACTGATCTCTTTTCCCTTAGATTGTCAGATTAAAAAAATGATAGCAACCAATGTAGTAATACCCATTCAGTGTGAATGAATCAAAATTATACCTATTTTTATGTCAGAGCTGGCAAAAATATATTTAGAGGGTTCCACAGAATTTTAGTAATTAGTAAATTATGAATTTTATCTAATTACTCAGTAATTAGGGAAAAAAAGGTTGAAAATTGCTGTCTTAGACAATGTATTTAATCTTCTGGTTTCATCATCTGTTAAGCAAGGAAGTTGTATTAGTCTAAGAATTTCTAGTCCCTTTTAAAGCTAAAACTATAACATTATTAAGAAATGTCTGAGGAGGTACTTCCAGCCAAGATAGAGGTGTAGATGGAAACACTTTTCTTCCTTGCACAACCAAAAGAACAACCATCAATTTAAAAACAAAACAACCAGAATTGCCAGAAAATTGAACCGTATGAAAGTCTAACAACCAAAGAATTTAAGAAGAAACATTCATCCAGACTGGTAGGAGGGGTGGAGATGGGCAGCCAGGGTGGAGAGGACATGAGGCAAGGTGGTGGCTGGGGAGCAAGACTGACAGTGCAAACCAGGTTCCAGTACAGGGAAATAAAGCCTCAAAACCTTTGACTGTAAAAACATGTGGGAGATGCAGTGGCAGGAGAAATTGCCTGTCTCACAGGAGAGTCTATTGGAGGAGCTCATGGGATCCTAGAAGGTCCAAAAGCCCACTCATCCAGGATTCGGCACCTGAAAGGGCATAATGCACTTGTAGAAAACAAGGAAAGTGACTGAAAGTGAGATGAGAGCCAAGCAGCATTGCTCCCTCTGTTTCCTTCCCCACATACAGCACCACAATACAGTGAAATGGGTTGCCCTGCCATGGCTAATAACTAAGGCTCCTCCACTTACAACATAACAGATGCCTGAGACAAAGAAATATGGTCCAGATGAAAGAACAGATCAAAACTCGAGAAAAAAGACTAAGTGACGAGGAGATGGGCAACCTATCAGGTGCAGAGTTCAAAACTGGTAATCAGGATGCTCACAGAAATGATTGAGTATGGCCCCAAACTGAAACAAAAATACACAGGGAACCAACAGTGACAGGAAGGAAACCAAGACTCAAACCAATGATTTGGACCAGAAGGAAGAAATAAACATTCAACCAGGACGGAATGAAGAAACAGTAATTCAAAAAAAGAATAAGAGGCTTAGGAACCTCTGGAACAACTTTAAACATTTCAACATCTGAATCATAGGGATTCTGGAAGGAAAAGAGGAAGAGCAAGAAATTGAAAACTTATTTTAAAAAATAAAGATGGAGAACTGCCCTAATCTGGCAAAGGAAATAGACTTCCAAGAAGCTCAGAGAGTCCCAAAGAAGTTGGACCCAAGGAGGAACACATCAAGACACATCATAATTAAGGTAACGCAAGATTAAAGATAAGGAGAGAATCTTGAAAGCAACAAGAGAAAAGGAGACAGTTACCTACAAAGGAGTTCCCATAAGACTTTCAGCTGATTTCTCAAAAGAAACCGAGAGTTCTTTTTTGAGTTTCTTGGTTGCCTTAGAGGCAAGATGGGACTGAAAAGTATTCGAAGTCATGAAAGAAAAGAACCTGCATCCAAGATTATTCTGTCCAGTAAAACTATAATCTAGAATGGAAGAACAGATAAAGTACTTACCACGTCTTTATTATATGAACTGTTAAAGGGACTTACCTAAGAAGAAGAAGGTCAACACTATGAACATTAAAATGACAACAAACTCATAAGTATCAATACCTGAACCTAAGAACAACAGAAACAAACTAAGCAAACAACCTGAACAGGAACAGAGATCATATGGAGGGTTATCAGCAGGAAGGAGGAAGGGGGACAATGGGAGAAAAGGTACAGGGAAAAAGAAGCATAATTGGTAAGTACAAAATAAACAGTGGGAGGTTAAGTATAGTGTAGGAAATGTAGAAGCCATGGAACTTATATGTATGACCCATGGACATGAACTAAAGGGGGTGGATGCTAGGGGGAAGGAGTGCAGAGTGGAGGGGAATAAAAGGGAGAAAAACATGGTACAACTGTAACAGCACAATCAATAAAATATACTTTAAAAAAAGGAAATTTCTGAGTAAAATGACTGATTTTGCTCCCCAATGAGTAGTGTTGTCTGAGTGATGAATATTTTGATTGTTGGCTTCTTTCTGTGTTGCGGATAGAATTTACAGATAATGAGACACCTCTCCATGGATATTCTCAGTCCCCGTAAAGCTTTATAAAAGTTCATTATAGTTAGATTGAAAAGAATGCTAGCCCTGACTGGTGTGGTTCAGTTGGTTGGAGCACTTTCATAAACCAAAGGATTATGGGTTCCATTCCTGGTCAGTGCACATGCCTGGGTTATGGTTTGGTCCACACTCAGGCTGTGTGCATGGGATAGGCAACTGATTGATGTTTTTTTCCCCTATCTCTTTCTCTCACTTCCTTTCTCTCAAATCAACAGGCCTATCCTCAGTGAGGATTAAAAAAGGAAAAAAAGAATGCTAACCTTGCTAAATATTGCTAGGTAGTACAGTTGTATTTAGTGGGATGTAACTGGTGCAGAATTACAATCTTTAAGTTGAACATTTAACAACACATAAGTGATTTGAGATTCTGACTAGATATTTTGCTGATATTTGTCCTTATATAATTGGAAGTCTTTGTTTAGTCAGAGACAAATCAGTTGGTTTTTAAGTTTCTAAATTATCATTTTTTATTTTTTATTTTTAATTAGGCAAGTAAAACTTGAGATGGATCAGTACAAAGAAGAGCTGTCTAAAATGGAAAAAGACATAATGCACCTAAAACGAGATGGAGAAAATAAAGCAATGCATATCTCTCAGTTAGACATGATCCTAGAACAGACAAGGACAGAACTAGAGAAGAAAACAAATGCTGGTAAGCAACAGGTTCACTGAGCCTTACTGCCTTCATATTTATATTTAGAGAAGTAGACTAAAGTAAGAATTTGGTGCAGGGGGGTTGAAAGGGACAATGAATAGTCAATATCTTGCCTCTGATAGATGAATAAAATTGGATATTCTTAATTATAATGAGTTACAAATTTCTTATTAATAAATGGTTTATATATAGTTCCAAAATTATTCTCTTGTCTTAACAGTTAAAGAGTTAGAAAAGTTACAGCACCAAATGGAAACTGAACTAACAGAAACCTTGCAGAAACGGGAGGTACTAGAGGCTGAACTACAAAATGCTCATGGAGAATTAAAAAGTACTTTAAGACAACTCCAGGAATTGAGAGATGTGCTACAGAAGGCTCAATTATCATTAGAGGAAAAATACACCACTATAAAGGATCTCACAGCTGAACTTAGGTGAGTTAAATACAAAGAAATGGTATCACAATTACAAATATTTCACTTTATTATTCTGAATCCTTGGGTCATACAATAAAGTTTGTTGTTAAATTCTAGATGTCTAAACTTCTCAATTGATTCACTATGGCTCTTGCTGGTCAGCCTATCCCACACTCCACCTAATAAATGCAGTAACTGCTGTTAGCTAATATTTTATCTTTAGCCTTTGGACCATTTTACACTGGCCCACTCCTATATTCCATAGTAGTAAAAAATGATTAGGCCAGCATATGGCAGTGTTTAACAGCAAAGTAATATTAATAATAACAGTATTGTTCTTTGTATTAAGCCATTATTTGTGCCAGTAATACTCCAGGGACTTCAAATATGATCTTACTCATTTCTTTACAACAAACCTTTTGGGTACATATATCACCTTTTTACCTTTGAGAAAACTGAGGCTTTAGAAAATTAAGTAAAATACCCAAAGAAAATAGTGTGTTCAGAAAAGAGAATTAAACACAAGTCTGCCCAACTCTAAAGTTCTTAGGTTAGCAGCTAAGTTCACCACATCTATGGTAGTGGGGATGGAGACCAGACCAGATTCAAAGGGTGGGAAATAGATTCTGAAAAGGAAAACAGAATTCCAATCCAGGATGTGAAATGTTGAATGAAAGAATATGGTAGAGAGCAGTAAGTTTACCCCCAAACTTAAATGTGTCTCATGATTTATTGTAGGGCCTTTTTCTCTTTTCTACCCACAAAATCATTTTTAGTAAATTTCATGTAACTTTAAATAGTATGTGTCGGACTTTCAAACCCCTATCTCCAGTATAACCTATTCTCCAAACTCTAGACTCAAATATCTAATGTCTTGTTATCTCCACTTTGATATATTTTTAAAGATTTTATTTGTTTATCTTTAGAGGGGAAGGGAAGGAGAGAGGGAGAGAAACATCAATGTATGGTTGCCTTCATGCATCCCTTGCTGGGAACTGGCCTGCAGGGAACCGGCCTGCAACCCAGGCATGTGCCCTGACTGGGAATCAAACCGCAATTGTTTGGTTTGCAGGCCCGCACTCAATCCACTCAGCTACACCAGCCAGGGCTTCCACTTTGATATTTTTAAGAGGCTTCTTAAGCTTGGCCAAAACAGAACTCATGTTTTTCCCTGCCCTTCCTCTCTCAGTATTATATAATAGCTTTAACCAGAAATCTATGATTATTTTATTGCTTGCCCTCCTTTTTAAATAAAATTTAATCTCTTAGTCATGTCAATTCTATTTCCACAATATATTCTGAAATCCATTGATTTTTTGGCCTCTTTTCTATTACCACCTGAGCAGAAGTCATCATCATTTCTTACCTGGTCTGTTTCTGTGACTTCCCAACTGGTTTCCCAGTTTAAATTCTTGACCCTGCCCACAATCCATTCTTCTCAGGATGGATTTAAGTTTATGCTTTAAAACATCAATCAAATCATGTTACTCCCCTACTTAAATCTTCTGATGGCTTTCCAAAAGATTCAGAATAGCACCCAAGCTAGTTGGGAAACAAATTAAAGCCACAGTGAGATACCACTTACACCATAATGTGTGAGTGGCCATAATAAAAAGAAACAAATAAAAATCAGAACAGAAAATAACAAGTATTAGAAAGTGGGTGGAGAAATTGGAACCCTTGTACATTGCTGGTGGGAATCTAAAATGGTAGAGCTGCTGCACAAAACAGTTTGGCAGTTCTTTAATAAGTTAAACATGGAATTGTTGTATAACTTAGTAATGTTACCCTTAGATATGTATCTAAAATAATTGAAAACAGGTGCTCAAACAAAAATTTTACACACATGTTCATAGCAGTTCTTCACAATGGCTACTAAGTGGAAACAGCCCAAATGTTCATTAATAGTTGAGTGCATAAACACAATATGGTATATCATGTAAGGATTATTATTCCCATTAAAACAAAGTACTGATATATGCTACAGCATGGGTGAACCTTGAAAACATTATGCTGAATGAAAGAAACCAGATGCATATTGCATAATTCCATTTATGTAAAATATCAAGAATTCACAAATCTATAGTGATAGAAAGCAGATTAGTCGTTGCCAGGAACTAGGGGGAGGGAAAATAGAAAATAACTACAGATATGGAATTTTCATTTGAAGTGATAAAGAAGTATTAGAAATAGATAGTGTTGATGGTAACAACCTTGTGAATGTACTTAATGTAACTGAATTGTTTACTTTAAAGTGGTTAAAAGGGTAAATCTTGTATGCATGATTTTTTAAAAATTCAAGCTCCTTATTTGTGGAATACAAAATTCTATATGACAAGGTTCCTGTCTACTTCTTGGCCTCATTTCATACTGTTCTCCTTCTTGGCCTGCCTATTTATTTATTTATTTATTTACTTACTTACTTACTTACCTACTTACTTACTTATTTATATTATTAGTAGTATTATTTTTAATCCTCACCTAAGGATATATTTATTGATTCCAGAGAGTGAGGTAGGGGGGAGGGAGAGAAACATCCATATGAGAGAAACATTGATGGGTTGCTTTCCACATGTGTCCTGAGCAGGGATTGAGTCCCCAACCTAGGTATGTTCCTTGACTGGATATTGAACCTGCACCCTTTTGGTTTATGGGACAGAACTCCAGCTCATTAAGCCATACCAACCGGGGCATGGCCTTTTAATTTTACTTCCCAAGTGTTTCCCCCACCCTCCTACTTTGCTATAGCTGTTTCTGTGGCCTGGAAAGAATGGTTTTATGGCTAGCTTCTTGCCCTTTGCATTATCTCATAGGACCCTTCCCTGACCATCTACTCCAAAGTAGCCACCCTCTCACTATTTTGTTACTATTTAATGCCCTAACATAGTACCTTGTATTGTGATTTGCATCTTTCTTGTTGAGTTGTTTAGTATTTATTACTTATCAAGATTGATGTGATGAAGGACATTTATCTTGTTGACTATGAAGTCCACAGTACATAGAACTCCAACATACGGGAAACATCCAATAAATACTTGGTAAATAGTTAAGTGAATGATTGGATGAAAAATGTAAAACTGAAATCTGAAGTTTTAGCTAATAGCTTAATTTTAGAAACTCAATTATTTGCAGAGACAGCAGTTACAGTTATCATTAGAATTAATTTTATATCACATTTAGAATATTAATTTAGTCTTTTATAACTTTTAACTTAGGAGAATAATAAACAGCTCATTAAAGAAGTTCAGAATCTATTTTTTAAAGTTAGTACCTTTATTCAGTATTGTTTCATATTTGAGATTGGAAAACCATTTGAAGATTTTTGAGATCAACAAACCATTTTCAGGCTTTGTCATATCAGAACTTACAGTTCAAATTAAAATTCTCTGATCTCAGGCTTCAGAGTAGTAGAAGACTTAAAATTGTGTTAGCAATAAGCATTTTTATGATGTAAAAATATATGTAAGAGTTTTAGGAGGATGGTAGTTTATAAAACATATAAAATAAAATTATATGAAATACATTAATTTCTATTTATAAAAATATTTCTGTAGTAGACTTCATTATATCATTATATCTAAGCCATCATTTTGAGTAAAACTTCATTTTGAGAAATACAGCAGTCATTTACTGAGCTATGGGTATCAGGGATACCAACCTCGAGATAAATGCCTCATTCAGTTGTAATAAACTCATAGCTATCATAGAGAAAAGACTTTCAAACATTCCATTGATCTGTAGATGAAAAACTATGGGTATGTATTTTAAATTCTTATAATTCAACCAAATTTCCTGGGAGTGCTTTAACATTTAGCTTAAGTTGTCTACAATAGTAGAGTTTAAGTTATCTTTGGCCTTTTTAGGATACTCTATTAAACTAATTATATTGATATCAACCATTTTTCTTATACATATTACTTTAATTTGAGCCCTTTTAATTTGAAATAATTGCATCTGTGCAATCACTTTTAATTTATATGAGAGTTAACCCAGTTGACTTAATTTTTAAAAACTATAATATTTCTGATATATGCTTTGATCTTTTCTTTGATAAATTTTAGAGAATGCAAGATGGAGGTTGAAGATAAAAAGCAAGAACTCCTTGAAATGGATCAGGCACTTAAGGAGAGAAATTGGGAGCTAAAGCAAAGAGCAGCTCAAGTTGGTTTCATTAATTATAAATATATACATATATATATTTAAAATATATATTTTATTGATTATGCTATTACAGTTCTCCCATTTATTCTCCCCTTTATTCCCCTCCACCCTGCACCCCACCTCCCACCAGCATTACCCCCTCCCTTAGTTCATGTCCATGGGTTGTATATACAAGAAGTTCTTTGGCTTCTCTATTTCCCATACTGTTCTTACCTCTCCCTCCCTGTCTATTTTGTACCAAACAGTTATGCTTGTTATTCCCTGTACTCTGTCCCCCATTCTTCCCCCTCTCCCTCCCCACTAATAACCCTCCCCACGCGATCTACATTTCTGTGATTCTGTTCCTGTTCTAGTTGTTTGCTTAGTTTTTATTTTTGTTTTTTAGGTTCAGTTGTTGATAGCTGTGAGATTGTTATCATTTTACTGTTCATATTTTTGATCATCATCTTTTTCTTAGATAAGTCCCCTTAAAATTTCTTGTAATAAGGGCTTGGTGATGGTAACTGCTTTAATGTGAGCTTATCTGGGAAGCACTTTATCTTCCCTTTCATTCTAAATGATAGCTTTGCTGGATAGAGCAATCTCGGATGTAGGTCCTTGCCCTTCATGATTTGAAATACTTCTTTCTAGTCCCATCTTGCCTGCAAGGTCTCTTTTGAGAAATTAGCTGAAAGTCTTATGGGAATTCCTTTGTAGGTAACTATCTCCTTTTCTCTTGCTGCTTTTAAGATTCTCTCCTTTTCTTCAATCTTGAGTAATGTAATTATGTTGTGCCTTGTTGTGTGTTTTTCGTTGGGTCCAACTTCTTTGAGGTTCTCTGAGCTTCCCAGACTTCCTGGAAGTCTATTTCCTTTGTCAGATTAGGGAAGTTCATTATTTTTTCAAATAAGTTTTCAATTTCCTGCTCTTCCTCTTCTCCTCTGGCACCCCTATGATTCAGATGTTGGAATGTGTGAAGTTGTCCTGGGGGTTCCTAAGCCTCTCCTCATTTTTTTGAATTCTTGTTTCTTTATTCTGTTCTGGTTGAATGTTTCTTTCTTCCTCCTGGTCCAAATCATTGATATGAGTCTCGGTTTCCTTCTCATCACTGTTGGTTCCCTGTACATTTTCCTTTATTTCACTTTTGATAGCCTTCACTTTTTGCTCTATACTCAACCATTTCTGTGAACATCCTGACTACCAGTGTTTTGAACTGTGCATCTGATAGGTTGGCTATCTCTTCACTGCTTAGCTTTAATTTTGGAGTTTTGATCTGTTTTTTCATTTGAGCCATACTTTTTTATCTGGGCACACTTGTTACATAGTAAGGGATAGAGTCTTAGGTATTCTGCAGGGCAGAGCAACCTACTGTGCTGCATTATGGTGCTGTATGTGGGGGAGGGGTCCTAGAGGGAACAGTGCCCCTTGCTCAGCTCTCTCCACTGGCATTTAGTCACTTCCCCCGCTGCCCACAAGCAAATTGTGCCCTCTGGTGCCTATTCGCAGGTGGTTGGGCTTGTGTATATTCTAGGACCCTGTGGGTCTAGATGAACTCTCCTGTGAGGCTAGGCGTTTCTCCCACTGCTTCAACCCCTGTAGGTATTTTCAGTCAGAGGTTTGAGGCTTTATTTCCCTGCACTGGAACCCTGGGCTGCATGGTCTGTCTCGCATCCCAGTTCCTCCTGGTTTATCTGCTTGCTCCCCCACCCACTGCCTCACCCACCTCATCATCCAGCCCTGGTCTTGCTGCATGTCCTCTCTGCTCCTCCTACCAATCTGAATGAATGTTTCTTCAACTTCTTGGTTGTTGGACTTCCATACAGTTTTGTTTTCTGTCAGTTCTGGTTATTTTTTGTTTTTAAATTGGTTGTCCTTTCTTTGGTTTTGCAAGGAGGCAAAGTATACCTACCTATGCCTCCCTCTTGGCCAGAAGTCTTATTAATTATATTTTAATGAAATTTTCTGTTAAAATACAATCACATGGTGTTTCACAGGTCACACATTTTGGTAGATGGACTTTATAACATTTGTGGTTTTTCCACATAAATATTTTTGAAAAATTAGAAATATATCATCTTTCTTTATTTTGCTAGTTTTTACAGCAAGCGAATTTTACAGCAAGTGAAGGTTACCTTAGCATCTGAACCTTTTGATCTGTTTTATTACTGTATATCAGAAAAGTGGGATTAAAGGAATTTCTTGCTCAACTAGTGTTTATTGGAGGAGCAAAAATTTTCTCAGAAGGTATTATTTACTATCATCTCTTTTGAAGACTTTATTATTTACAGCAGTTTTTGGTTCACAGAAAGATTGAGTAGAAGTTACAGACATTTCTTATGTATGACTTACCCCCACAGATGTGCAACCATCCTCATTATCAACATTTTCCACCACAGGTGGTACATTTGTTACAGTTGTGAACCTACATTGATGCATCATAATCTCCCAAAGTCCAGAATCTACATCTCTTGGTGTTGCACATTCTGTAGGAGGAACATATGATAGTTGTCCACCATTATAACATTTTCACTACACTACAAACCTCTGTGATTCATCTATTCATTCCTCTTTCTCTTCCCTCAATCCTAATACCACTGATCTTTTTATTGTCTCAATAGTTTTTCCTATTCCAGAATATCATACACATACTTTGAATCATAGCATGTAGCCTTTTCAGATTGACTTACTTCAAGTTAGTAATATGTATTTAAAGTTCCTCCATGTTATTTCTTACCTTGAGAGTTCATTTCTTTTTAGTGCTAACAGTTCCATGTTCTGGATATACTGCAGCTAATTTATTTATTTTCTCCTATTGAGAGCTGTCTTGGTTTCTTCCAAGTTTTGGCAGTGATAAAAGAAGCTGCTATAAACATTTGTGTGTAGCTTTTTGTGTGAGCATAAATTTTCAACTTCTTTGGGTAAATACAAAGGAAAGTAATTGCTGGATCATATGGTAAGTATATGTTTAATTTTTTAAGACACTTCCAAACTGCCTTCAAAAGTGGCTGTACCATTTTGCATTCCCACCAGCAATGAATGAACACTCCTGGTTCTCCACGTGCTAACATTCAGTGTTAGTGTATTAATATCTCCTTGTTTTAATTTCTGTTTCCCTAATGACATGGTATGGAGCGCCATTTTCTGTGGTGCCAACTGTTTTTTATTTGCCAGCTGTTTATCTTCTTTGGTAAGTTATGTTTTATTTTTTAATTGGTTGGGTTGTTTTTTTTATTGTTGAGTTTTAAGAGTTCTTTGTATATATTGGATACCAGTCCTATATCAGATTTGTCTTTTGCAAATATTTTCTTTTAGTGTATGTTTTTTCTTCTCATTCTTTAGAAATTAACTTTCACAGAGTAAAATTTTTTTGTTTTGGTGAAGTCTAGCTCATCAATTATTTCTTTCATGGATTGTGCTTCATCTAAAGCATGGATTGTGCTTCATGGTGTTTCATCTAAAAAATTATAGCTATACCCAAGGTCCTCTTGGCTTTCTTCTGTGTTATCTTAGGAGTTTTATAGTTTTGCATTTTACATTTTGGCATGGATTTATTTTGTATTAATTTTTGTGACATGTATAATGTCTGTGTCCAGATTTTTTTTTGTGTGTGGATGTCCACTTACTCCAGTCCCATTTGTTGAAAAGAATATCTTTTTCCATTGTATTGCCTTTGCTCCTTTGTCAAAGATCAATTGATTATATTTATGTAGGTTTGTTTCTTGGTTCTCTGTTTTGTTCCATTCACCAGTACCACATTTTCCTAGTTCGTTAGCTTTGTAGTAGTAAGTATTAAAGTCAGGTAACAACATTAGTCCTCCAACTTTGTTATTCTCTTTCAATATTGTGTTGGCTATTCTTAGTATTTTGACTCTCCATATAAACTTTAGAATCAGTTTGTTGGTAGACACAAAATAACTTGATGGGATTTTGATTGAGATTTCCTTGAATTTGTAGATCAAATTGGTAAGAACTGACATCTTGATGTTATCAAGTCTTTCTACCCATGAACATGGGCTCTTTCTCCATTTATTTAAAATTTTGATTTCTTGTGTTGGGTTTTTGTAGTTTTTCTTATATAGATCTTGTATATTTTGTTAGATTTATACCTAAGCAGTTCTTTTGTGGGGTTGCTAGTGTAATTTCAGGTTCCTCTTGTTCATGCTAGTTTATAGGACAACAATTGGCTTTAGTGTAGTAATTTCATATTCTAAACCCTGCTATAATTGCTTATTAGTTCCAAAAATTTTTTGTTAAATCTTTTGGATTTTTCTACCTAGATGATCATGTTCTCTGCAAACACAGTTTTATGTCTTCCTTCCCAATATGTATACCTTTTATTTCATTTACTTGTCTTATTGCATTAGCTAAGATTTCTAGTACAATATTGAAAAGACTGGTCAGAGGGAATAATTTTGCCGTGTATTTGATCTTAGTGGGAAAGCTTAAAGTTCTTCTCACCATTAAGTATGATATTAGCTGTTGAGTTTTTTTGTAGATTTTTTATCAAGTTGAGGAAGTTACCTTCTATATCTAGTTTACCAAAAATTCTTATCATGATTGGGTATTGGATTTTGTCAAATACTTATTTAGCCTTTTGATGTCATAGATTACATTAAATGATTTTCAAATTTTGAACCAGCTTTTTATACATATAATAAACCTCACTTGTTGGGGTATATAATTTTTCTTATACTTTGTTGTCTGTGATTTGGTAATATTATGTTGAGAATTTTATAATTATGTTCATGAAAGATATTGGTCTATAATTTTCTTTCTTTTAAATTTTTTGTTGATTATGCTGTTACAGTTGTTCTATTCCCCCTTTCATTGCCCTCCACCCTACCCCCCCATCCCCACCATTACCCCCTTTTAGTTTATGACCATGTGTCTCAAGTTCTTTAGATTCTATATTTCCCATGCTATTCTTGCCCCCCATCTATTTTCTATCTACTGTCTATGCTACTTATTTTCTGTACCTTCTCCCCCCTTCTCCTCCTCCCACTTCCCTGTTGCTAACCCTC